CAGATAGTAACACATAGAAACTGTGAACAACAAAAGAGTAAACACGTGAATGAACATCATCATGATTAATAATGGATTCTAAATACTCACATTCAGATTATTCAATGACATTATAACCACCTAATGGTTAAAAATACTAACTAAACAACTAAAATATAAACCAAACATTTCTAAACCATTTCTGTTCCTTAGAGTAAAGTTATGAGTCACAGTCTATAAATTTAACTCTTAAAGTTCATGAAACAGTCTGAAAAGCTGTTGGTCTAAAGAAACTAAAGAATAAAGGATTTATTCTGTCAGAGTGCTAACTTGGCTTCTGGAGCACATAGAAAAACGGGAAACACCATATTTTAACACAAATTTCATGATTAGACAGATTAGTACATTGCTGAATGCACAAGATGTCATGATCAGTCATTTGTATTCTTTCACCAAAGGAATGTAGTCTTTATCAGTGTATGGTCGAGCAGGGTTTTACGACCGAGGTCTGGAGGTCGGTGTCCTGCTCCTCAGCTTATCTTGGGGTCTGTATGTTCACACTCTTTAAGACGGTAAATCTCAAATGGGAGATCTGGGTTGAAGCGTTAATGTTTATTTAGATGGTCAGTGATGGAGTCAATTTGAAAGGTAATAAAAACTCTGTCTCTGTTCTCTGAATTGACCAATCGTGAAGAGTCAGAGGTTTGGTCAACCTCTGGTCGTGTCACTTAGGTAACCTGAAAGTGCAAACAAGTCTGGAGAGATTTATATCCTGTGTCCTGGGACCAGATAAGGAAACTTTCCTGTGAGGAATGTGTGAGTTTCACACCCAGGGTCATCTTGATTGCTACACTGATTTGTTATAAATGTGGGTCTGCTCTCACTATTTTTCTGCTGTTGTCTTTCTGTGCTCCTTTGCTGTAGCCTAACCTGTTGAGATGCAGGTGGATGTACACGAGTAAGAATATGCTACTGTCAGTTTCTATATCATAGGATTACACTGAATGTAGGTAGGCTGTGTGTCGGCTATAATGCCCTATTAATAAGTTGAAATACAGTATCCCCACCCCATTTATCTTTGTAGGTCAACATCGTATGTTTCTTTATTTTCTTAGAAAGCACCATAGTGCTTCATTTACCTTTTGAAAACGAAAAAGAAGTCTCCCGGGGGGAGGATACCCCCAGATCCCCCAACGGGGCTCTGTTTTCTAAACCTTTAGTCCCACTTATTATTTTTCCCACCAGCCGCCACTGCCGAGAGGGTCTTTTCCCCCCCCCCAGAAAGTTGCAAAATCGCATCGGGCTTGATGTGTATAGTCAGGCGCGGCATAATTCGCCTCCGAATATTTTGTAATTTTGCATCGTATATTTGCGTCGATCCCAGTGTGTAAGGACCTTACCTCAACAAGAAGCTGCGCACGCAGAGTGGCAAGTGTCAACGAAAGCAGCCTACTATTTTGCCCCAGTCACTCATACAACCAAGTAAGCGTCCTGCTTCGACTGGTGACGATCATTCACTACAGGGAGAGAGGCTCACACACTGAAGATCCTTCACAACGTTACGCACACACAAACCTGTGTTCACCAAGCCAAAGGTTTCACAGCAGCTCATCACACCACATCACTGTTTAACGGTGATCTAAACGGTGATAACGGTGATAAAAAAAACGGAGGGAAAAATATCCTAGCATTATCAGTCTGTCGGGGGGGGGGGGGGGGGGGGCTCTCAAAAGGTTGCTCTACACCAACGACTGCACCTCAGGGGACCCATCTGTCAGACTCCTGAAGTCTGCAGACAACACCAGAGCCGTCAGCCTCTTCCAAGATGGTGATGACTCTCCATACAGACAGGAGGTAGATCAGCTGGTTCTCTGGAGCTAAACCTGCTCAAGACTGTGGAGATGACAGTGGACTTTAAGAGGAGCCCTCCTACACTCGCCCCTCTCACAATCTTCAACTACTGTGGACTCATTCTGGTTCCTTGTATTAGCTATCTCTATAGACTTCATCAGAAAAAAGGTCCAGCAGAGGTTGTAAGACAGGGACAGACTTCAATGGACTATCAGGACTGCAGAGAAAATCATTGGGGCCAACCTGCCCCCACCCAGGACTTAAACTGGACCAGGGTAAAGGAACAGTCAGGTAACATCATTGCAGACCCCTCACACCAGGACGCAAACCGTTTAATCAATCAATCAATCAATCAAACTTTATTTATATAGCACCTTTCATGCAAGCTGCAACACAAGGTGCTTTACAAAAAGATAAAAACAAACAATGGTAAAATAAAAACAAACAACGGTAAATATAAGGCAATGAAATAGGCATAAAACCCGTCCCTTCCCACCCACAGCAACACATACAGGCATGCACAGCAGCCCCCCCCACACACACATACACACACACACACACACGTATCCACACACCCACACACTAACTGTCAGTAAAAACATGGCAAGGCACTGATGATCCTGGTGAGGAAAGACCACCTATGGGAGCCGTCCACACCGAGAGCAGCAACAGCCCACCCCCACAGGGAGCAACCCCCCCGAGACCCCCCGACCCAGACAGCCCGGGTGCACCCCGCACATAGTGCAGAGTCCCCTAACCGTCCGGGCCTGGACGATCCCAAGGACCACGCCACCTGGGGGCGGACCAGACACACCTCCCAGTGTGGAGGGCCCCCACGAGGAAACACTGGAGCTAAAAAGACTAAGGGATAGTAGAGTACAGGAATTAAAATAATGTTAAAATATCTAAATGACATAAAATGTGATAAAAGTAAAGGATAAAATAAACTAAAACTAAATTAAAAGAATGTTAAAATATCTAAATGACATAAAAATGTGATAAAAGTAAAGGATAAAATAAACTAAAACTAAATTAAAATAATGTTAAAAAATCTAAATGACATAAAAATGTGATAAAAGTAAAGGATAAAATAAACTAAAACGGTTAAATCAGCTAAAAGCTAAACTAAAAAGGTGGGTCTTGAGCCTCCTTTTTAAAACATCAACAGTCTCTGCGGTCCTGGGGCCTTATGTATCAACGCTTGCGGCGCAAGAAAACAAAATCGGCGCACACGTCCAGATTTATCATCGCGAAACGAGCGTCGGTTCCAGCGCTAATCAACGCAAAGTTAGGAGGTGGTGTAGAAGTTGGCGTTGAGCTGATACTTGCGTTGACTGTGATTCGCACTTTGGCGACGCTGTGTGGCGGTGTTTGGTGACTCACTATGTGACAAGCGTGCACCACATCCCCGTGGCCGAGCAGCACGTCGCCCCACATGACGAACCAGCAGCAGACGGAGGGATGCGAGCTGATCCCTGCCGGGCCGCCGTCCTCGCGCGGGAGAATCTCATCGCCACAGCGTGAATGGGTAAGAAGTGAGCACACAGTTCAATGAGCCAAATTAATTTATTTTCGCCACCAGACGCTCGAGGACATTTACGAGCCGGTCCAGCCGCTCGTTGATCCCTGCGATCCCCCTGATGATTTCTTCCTGCGATTGCAGGACTGCCTCCGTGAGGACCCTTCCACTGCGTCCGGGTGGTCCAGCGGAAGCGCCGCGGCTGGTGGACGCTCCACCGCTTGTCGGCGCGCTGGTGCTGCTGCTGGTGCTGGGGCCGGGATGGCCCGAATGCCGCTGGTCCTGGCCGACGACTCCGAGCCGGTGGACGGGCTGCCGCAGGCCGGGGTTCCGCAAGCCGGCGACACGGCCGACACATTGATTTCTGTGACACAATAAAAATATTGGTTCATTTCAATTCCTGCTTCTGTGTATCTGTTGCGTTTACATCTCTCTCCACGGTATCATAGGTAATGTAATCCAGTATTTAGAGGTCAGTTATGCACATTTCAGTTGTTGATTGCATAAAAAGTGATCAAAAAATGAAGTTAAGGGCGAAGTATAAATCACGTCTAAAAATAGACTGAATCCCGACGTTGAAATGAAGTATAAACTTAGACTAGACGTCTAATATACGTCTTTTGCTAAGTGGGATGGAAAAGCATGTGGACATTTGTGTGACATGCCACTTACCCTATAATAATAATCGCCACCACCCGCTGCTCAAACAGCGTGAGGGTCTCCTCCCCCGGACCCCCACCTGTCTGGCCGGTACTCCTCTGGAGGGCAGCTGTACACCGCTTGACCTCCACCTTGAGGTCCGACCACTTTTTTTTAATCTCATATAGGCCAGGGAGACCCTATTTAAATAAATCTGCATATTTATGTGAGGGCGTAACGGGGGCGGGCCCAGTCACTCCAAAATCTGCGCTCAATTCCACACTGGTTGGGATTTATCAAGGAAACACACGTGGATTTCGGTGCCCGCACACATTGATACATACAGATTTTTTTCAGCGTGACGGACCTTTCGTGCGCTCGTTTCTGGTATGAGTTCCACGCAAGTATTGATACATAAGGCCCCTGATGTTCTCTGGCAGGCTGTTCCATAACTTTGGGCCATAATGGCTGAAGGCAGCCTCTCCGTGAGTTTTGGTTTTTGTCCTAGGAACAACTAAAAGGCCGGTGCCAGAGGACCTCAGGGTACGCGAGGGTTGATAAGATAAAAGCAGTTCAGATAAATAAGAGGTGCCAAGACCGTTAAGACACTTTAAAACTACTAAAAGAACCTTGAAATCGATCCTGAAACACACGGGGAGCCATCTTTGTTTTGTTCTTGATATGTGGAATAAAATTCAGCTCAGAGTCAAAAATTACGCCCAGATTCTTAACAGATTGAGCAGGTTTAAAATCTTGTAGTTTTGGTAAAAGTTTCTCTCTCTTGCCTTCAGGACCAATAATTAAAACTTCATTTTTGTCCTGGTTGAGCTGTAGGAAATTCTCTGCCATCCATGACTTGATATCTAAAATGCAGTTAAACAGGACATCAATAGGCCCTGTGTCCTCAGGAGACACAATACAACTGTGTATCATCAGCCAGCGTAAATATGGAAGCTGATGCCGTGTCTCCTGATGACGTCCCCAAGGGGAAGCATATAGAGATTAAAAAGTATTGGACCTAAAATTGACCCTTGGGGCACCCCACACTTAATTTCATGAGTTTTTGAGGAACAGGTATCCATACTTACAAAGAAGGATCGTTCCGAGAGATAAGAACTGAACCAGTTAAAAACAGTACCGGAGAGGCCCACCAGGTGCCTGAGTCTGCTTAATAAAATCTGGAGATCTACTGTGTCAAAGGCAGCGCTTAGATCCAGTAGTACCAGAACTGTGAGCTTCTGTTTATCAGCATTACACCTAATATCATTTAAAATCTTTAAAAGGGCTGTCTCGGTACTGTGGTTCATCCTAAAACCGGATTGATACTTCTCTAAAATGTTATTACTTTTTAAGAAATAATTTACTTGGTTAAAAACCAGCCTTTCTAAGATTTTACTTAAAAACGGTAAGTTGGATATGGGTCGATAATTATTAAGAACATCAGTATCCAAATTTCTCTTCTTCAGAAGGGGCTTCACCACTGCTGTTTTAAGGGCGGTGGGGAAGAACCTTGTCTGAAGAGAGCAATTTACTATGGTTAAAATCTGTTCCTCAAAAAATTCGTAAAATGTTTTTAAAAATGATGTGGGAATCCGATCTAAAAGGCAGGTTGTTGGGTTTACTTGGGAGAAAACTCGACCAAGTGTCCTTCCGTCAACCAGGGCAAAACTCTCCAGTGTTTCCTCAGGTAAAATCGGCTGTTCAGATGTGTCAAAAATCACATTCTGATGAGACTGGATCTAATATCATCTATTTTACTCCCGAAGTGGTCTGCAAAGTCCTTACAGAGGGCGTCTGTGGGGGTCTTAAAAGATTTTTTTAAATGGGAGTTTGTTAAAAGATCGATGGTGGAAAAGAGGAATTTGGAATTGTTTTTTATGGTCTGTGATGAGTTTTGAAAAGTGGGCTGTTCTTGCCTTTTTTACTGCATTATTGTATTTTTTGAGTGAGTCCTGCAGTATTTCAAGGTGAACTGTTAATTTGGTTTTTCTCCATTTGCATTCGGCACTCCTGCATTTTCTCTTTATGTTTCTGATTTCATCGTTTTTTCTCCATGGGGGTAAGGGTTTTGTTTTAATAGTTTTCATCACGGGTGCAGCCACTGTGTCCAATGCGGTTTTTAATGTACTGTTAAAATGGTCCACAATAAAATCGCATGGTGCAGGTAAAATACGGCAGGAGTGCTCTGTAAAATCCCAATAAATTTTGCAGCCACTTCGGGGGTTAGGTAGCGTTTCCTCACCGTTCTCACCGGGGCCTCCTGATGGTTAAAACTGGTGATATTAAAATACACACAGTAGTGATCTGACACAGCCAGGTCAACAACAGAGGACAAACCAGTGGATAGGCCAGAAGTTATGACCAAATCCAGGGTGTGCCCTCTGTTGTGAGTCGGCTGTGCCACGTGCTGTTTAAAACCCATGCAATTTAAAGGTTTAAAAACTCCTTGGACACCGGATCAGAAGCTGTATCAATGTGCAAGTTAAAATCACCAGTTATTAAAATCCTGTTACGGGTAGTGTGTAAGATGGATAATAGTTCAGAAAATTCGCTGATAAAAGAGTTGGAGTAATGGGGTGGTCTGTAAATTGTAATGCAGAGAGTAGGAGGACTGCTAAAAACAAATGCGTGATATTCAAATGTTGTAAAACTGTTCAAAGAAACTTCATTTGGGCACAGTGTGTTTTTGAATATTGAAGCAGTGCCTCCTCCCTTTCTACCCCCCCTTGTTGAAAATAAAAAAATAAAATTAGGGGGGCAAGCCTCGGTGAGAACAATTGAAGCATCAGTGCCAAGCCATGTCTCTGTTAAAATGAGAATGTCTAAATTATTGTCTAAAATCAGATCATGGATAATAAACGTCTTATTTAAAAGCGAGCGCACGTTCAGCACGGCCAAATTAATGTTCGTGCCGAGCGTGCGCTCATCCTCAGGAAGTGGTGAGATGGGAGCCAGTGTGACAGGAGTTAGGTTGATGGTCCATGAAGGGCATGTTCTGTGGGCTCGGTGTGAGATTCTGACTGGGATGCAGGATATGGGGGTGAACTGTGAGTGTGGTGTTGGTGAAACTGACTGTATACAGGCAGAGGGTGAGATTGGAGGAGAAATGGCAGTGGTATGGTGTAGAATTGGGGGTGGACGGTAGGGGGAGCTAGTGGTGGCGGTGGTGGCTTGGGACAGTGACACAGAGGAAGAGGGGGAAATCAGTCAGGTGTGTGTGTCAGGTGTGTGTGTGGGTGTGGCGAATGTTGTCGCCGAGCACCCTGCTGCCCAGGCGAGAGGGGTGGACTCCGTCAGCCCTGTAGAACGGGGAGCGGTTCCAAAATAAGTTAATAAATTGTCAATAAAAGGGAACCCGCAAGGGCAGGTGGAATGGAGCCAGGTGTTCAGGCTGAGGAGTCTGCTGAAGCGCCCCATGCCACGGTCGAAAGAGGGGAGGGGCCCCGAGATAAAAATAGACTTACCGCAGTCGGTGAGAACCTTAAAAAGTTTCTTAAAATGGTCCTTGGTCACCTCAGACTGATGGGAGGAAGTGTCGTTAAAACCCAGGTGTAAAACCAGCCTCGTGATGGAGGATGGGAGTGAGCCCAGCAGCTCCGGGAGTTTATGGAGGAGAGTTGGGACAGTGGCGCCTGGGAAGCAGTGGGTTACTGCATTAAAAAAACGGACGGGCCTCATGATGGAGTCTCCGATGATTGCTGTGGTCGGGGGGAACAGTGGGCGAGGATGGGCGGTGGTGTGAAGGTGGGAGCCGGAGAACCTCTGTTTCCAGCGGAGTGCCTTCGCAGAGGTCCCCTGAACGGTTTGCACCGGGTTGAGGAGTTGGCATGACGGGGAGGGGGGCGCCGAGGCCCCGTGTGCGTACCCCCGTTCACCTCCTCCTTCCCAGCTGCAGACGGAGGTGGGGCTGCACTTTGTCCGGCATCAGCTGGGCCCGGATCTGGCCTTCCTGGCAGCGGAGGAAAATCCGTAACACTGAGCACATCGTACCTCGAGGACAGCTGGAGATCGAAGTGGGGTTTCAGGCTGGTCCTCCTCTTTGCAGCCGCTGGGGACCGTGGGTTGGAACTCCAAATGTTAAACCTCGGGTGTGGAGTGAAGTCCAGTGCGGGAGCCGGCACTCGCTTTGGCCTTGCACCCTGAAACAGCCAAGGGTCCCCGGGTTGAGGACAAGCCGGCTCAGCAGAAGCCTCCGCGGGGGGAGGTGGAGAGCCAGAGGCAGCAGCAGCGCTCGCTAGGGCCGGTGGAGCCTGCGGAGCAGCGGCTGCTGGGATGGTGGAGTCCAACTCGGCTGGGTTTACAGGGAGGCCCACACCCAGTGTCAGCATCGAGTCCAGGAGTAACTTCTCATTTCGGATCCAGTGGAGGCTGGAAATACGACGTTCCAGCTCAGTGATCGCTTTGGATTTTTGGAGGCAGCTGTTACACTTGTGTGAGGAGGTGAGTGTTTCCATAGTGTATGATTCAGTGACCAAAGGTTAGCTGCTTTAGCCGCCGGCTACATACAAACCAGCGAATCAGTTCATTTAAAAGCAACTTAAAATCCGTGTCTGATTTTAAAATTCTTAGCCTGGTTAAAAGATAGAGTTAAAAAAAACAACCGGAATCCAATGACTGTATTACAGTTTTTGTTAGATTATGGGCAAAGTTATCGAGAGCTGTCAAACCGGCGTCTGCTCACCAACCGGCGTCACACACAGGAAGTACAACACACAGTTCACGCCTTAATATTCATGCCTTAATATTTAATTTAATGTTAGTACTGTAAAACAAAATGTATATCTACCTTGTGTACATATTATGTTTAATGTTTGTAGATAAAGGGCAAAGTTCAGAGTCAAATTACTTGTATGTGTGCACATTCTTGACCAATAAAGCTGATTCTGATTCTGATACTACATTAAATAGCATTGTATTAAATGTTATTATTACATTGGTGTTGCATCACAAGGTCTTGTATGTCTCATTTTGACTGCAATGTGGATTATATGGAGGTGGACTGTTGGGGCCAAGTCCCTTTGCTGCTGATCTGTCATCAAAGGTAGTGACAAAAACGTAACAGGGGCTCCATAGTGGCATAGTGTTGGAGCCAGCAGGGTGGAACATCACTCTGTGTGTGTGTGTGTGTGTGTGTGTGTGTGTGTGTGTGTGTGTGTGTGTGTGTGTGTGTGTGTGCGTCTGTGTGCGCGTCTGTGTGCATGTCACAGCATGTGTATACTGCATGAGGAGCTCTCACAGTGCGTTTCCATGTCAGGCCTTTTGTGCTTCCACATTGCCATAATGTAATGGGAAGTTACTCACCAGAACTAGGCTGTTGCAGATTTACTGTAAAAGGCATTAGTGAGGAGCTTCATTTTGATGCTGGTGGGGAACTGAAATAAGTGAAGGTCTTGTGTACAAGAAGCTCCTTCCTTGTGAGGTTTCAAAGTTTAAAGAGAACTGTGAAGTCTTAGAAATCAGCCCTGACATGTGGCCAAGAAAAGTTAAAATAGTCGACTCGTATTTTCCCTTTTTTGATGAAGGAGGCATGTAAACAACACGTTGCAGCATCTGAGGAAGTTGAATTAAGAGTGTGTACATTTCTTTCTGTACACGTATCCAGGATGGATCTAATTTTAGCGTCAGAGACAGACAAAAAGTACAAGCTTTTTAGTATGCAAGAAGCTGTATTCCAGTGTTGCAATGCACCAGAAGCTGCTGGCAATAAAAATGGCTGAGGTAGGATAAGGGGCAAATGGCAGCTGGTTTCCATCGCATTAGATTTCTTGATTCTTAAAAGAAAAAAGTCGTTATGCAGCACTGAGGAACACAGCACTTTTTCCTTTATTTTTGGTACCCTCTACATGGCCTGGTGGAGAGAACAAACGGCCCCATGTCTGTGTTTTTGTGTACGTGTATGTGTGTGTCTGATCAGAAAGCACACCTGGCACAGGCGAAGGCTTTGATGTCTGCAGGCTGAAAAAAGTGGTTTGGGCTCCTGACTGACGCACAGACCAAATAACAGAGAAAAAAACCTGCCTGAGTAGTGTACCACCCTGTGTTCAGGTTGATTCAGTTCAAGGTCATCAATCTTTTCCATTACTCTCAGGTCAGGTTTCATAACATCTGTACTGGTCTCCTGCCTGTCACACTTGTCATTAGAGCTGTCAATCATTGAATTCGCCCTTCTCTTTTCTTTTTTTCCCCCCACCAAACGAAGGATAAAAACAAAACTTCTTGGAAAAAACAAACACTAGGACATCTGTCAGCATGACGAGCAGCAAGGTTAGAACAGTTTAGAATCCATCCTTAGTTTTTTGGCTTTTTGTTGTCAGTTTTAGTCTAGTTTAGTTTTTGATTGGGTTTTAATTTTCAGTAAATTATTTTTTTTTAGTTTTTAATGTTTTCTTTTGAATAATGGTCTGATTTTGTTTAAATTTTAAGTTTTTCACATTGTGTGATATGGAAATTTTGCTAGAAGCAAAACCAGAGAAAATCTAAATACTATAAAGAAGAACTCAAACATCATACTTTTTAGCTATCTGTCTTGTCAGAAGCAGGTCTTATGTGTTTCATGTAAAAATAAACTTTATTAATGGTGTGAGCACAGAGATCCAACATAATCTGTTTATTGGTGTTTGGGCTCAAATATTTCTCACCACCTCTTTCAAGCTGTCTCGGAGAAGACATCTAAAAGTTGGAAAGATGAACCCATTTGAAAGTTAGGTTAACAAAGGTATTTAATTAGATAAAAAGCAAGCAAATTTTCTCACAGAATTTTATCATTCTTTTTGCAACAAGTGACACCTTCCTTTCGGCCCTTAGAGATGCAGGTTTAGTTTAGTTTTTTTTTGGTTTGTTTTCACAAGCAATTTATCTCTTCATGCCAGCTTCAGCTGACCTTCATACCACCATGATAAAATACAATGTCATAACCATACCATACAGTATGATAAAACATTTGATATGATTCGATACTACACATCAGAGCAGTGGATTAAACAGAGTGGCGACACTCCCATAGGCATACGCTGTACAGCCCGGCGGACCCCACTTCCGGGTTATGGAACTCTTAATAGTTCCAACATGACCACCTGTCACGTCAGACGCCATTCGCTTCTATGGCCACAAGGCAGGCACTCACCGAGGTTAAATGATAAAATATCAACAAGTTTAATGCCAATACATGTGTTATTGATATCGAGGGGACCCCTTCATATGTAAAAATCTATGGCCCAAATGTAATTACGTATTTATTTAGTCAGGAATTGGAATCGATTTTTTAGCCACGGCTTGCTCCCACACTCCCCGAGGTAAAATATTGTATGAACAAATTTAATGACAATACGTGTATTAATGGTATCGAAGGACCCCTTTATATTTAAAATGATTTTAATTTTAGTATGCTCAAATTGTAATTACAAATGTAATTACGTTTTTTGTAGTTAGGAATTGGGATCGATTTTTTTTTAGCCACGGCCTGCTAGTTGGACGTCGTCAGCTGTAGAGGCCTGGAAAAATGTATTGTGTGACTGAGTTATGAATCACAGATAAATCATCATCTGTTGTGAGGCAGGCTTGTAGTGAGGACCCAGAAGCAGACACTGAGACAGAGCTCAACGTAAAACGAATTTAATGTCCAAAAACAGAAAGGGATAGATAAGGGAACAAAGGAAGTCCGGTTGGTTGGCTGGTTGGCTGGCTGTCGTGTGGGCTGGAGACACTGCAGGAGAAACCAGAGGAGACAGGAGTTAAAGGACATGCAAAGAGTCACAAGGAGTAAAGTTCAGAACGTTATACCAACGACGAAGGCCAGGAGATGCGTCTGTACCGCTAGGAAGGGTAGACAATACTCAGGCGCTGAGACTGAGGGCTGCAGGCTTCTTAAAGTCCCTTGATTGGAGATGAGGAGCAGGTGTGTCGTCTCACTCAGCCTCAGCGCCGGGGGAGGGGAGGAAGCTCTGGAAAAGAGTACAGCCAGACCAGGCAAACAGGGAAAAACAGGAAGTCCAGCCAAAATAACACAGGATGAGGAGGCGTCTCACCACATCATCATCATCAATCATATGTTGAGATGGTTACTTATGGGCTTTATTTTAGATTTCAGCCTTTATCACTACCTAACGTTATGTGCAATTTATTTTTTTTAGACTAACATAAGTGCTATGTAATTTGATTTCTGCTTATGTATACCATGGGATGATAGAGTAAAGGGACCGCTACTTTTTAAATTCTGTCAGCATTTAAGGCATATGTTTAACATGAAAAAATGTTGTGCAGGCCATGCTGCAAGACCAAAACATTGCACAATAGTTTAATCAGCTTGTAACACCTGTTACATACCACTTTATTGTATTATTTTCTCTTATTAAAAAGTAACACCTGTTACCAAACTTGTCTTATTTCACTTTTATTTGTCATCTAGCCACTAAATATACGTATGTGACTTTGATGTGTACACAGTAATCCAATATGAGTTGCAAATGTTGACTTTTTACGGTTAATTTTAATATTTACCTCTTAAACGTGCGCTCACTGCCGTCTGTCCCGTTGAAGAGCATGGACAGTGCAGGCTGCGCATGGAACTGTTGAGAGGTACATGAACCACGTGACCTGTTTAATGACTCTGTTTAATACACTGCTCTGCTACACGTTTGATACAATATGATATGATATGATATGATATGATGTGGTACAATAGGGTTTGACATGTTACAATACAATATGGTATGATAAGACTGTGGTATAATATGCTATGACACGATTCAATACAACATGTGACGATATGGTAAGGTATGGTACAGTATGATACGATTCATTTTGTTGTCCCCTTGGGGAAATTTGACTTGGACTTAAGTACTGCACATGCTCAACTGTACCCAGTACCATACTTAGTATCAAAAAAATTAATTAAAAAATAAAAAATTTAATAAAACAATATTTGAAACTAGCAAAAACCCAAATACACACAAAGAACACATACCAAGGACACAACTAAACAAGCATCTCATATTGTATGTTATCCATGTCGCATCCATGTGTGGCAATAAATCAAGGAATATTTGATATTTTGTATGTAGTAGGGCACAATGGAGTTTTTAAAGCAGTTTAAGACAAGCAAGTTTCTTATACAGGCCTGGTACATTCTGCAATTAAAGTAAGTAAAGGACCTTATGGAAAGCCAAGTGAGTATTTATTCGATATCCTTGATATCACATGTCAAAGACACACACTAGTTCACTAGTAAGCTGCAAAAACTCTCACATGTTAACTAGTCAATCATGAATTATGGTTTCTAGTGAACTAGTGCATACCATTGTATGTTACTAGTTCACAAGTAAAGGCTGAAATGCTCACTAGTTAACTAGTGAAGCCCAACATGCTCACTCGTTAACTAGTTCATCCCTTTTTGGCCTTACTTGTAAACTAGATGGACCCAACTTGTTTACTAGTGAACTAGTAGCATAAGTTGCCTACTAGTTCATAGGAAACCCATTTGCAGCTGCACTAGTCAACTAGTGGGTTTTAACATGTTTACTAGCTTACTAGTTCAAGGAAAAATATGCACTAGTTAACTAGTTACAGAAAAAAAAAACTTATGATGATGTGTGAGGAGCATGCCATGAGGCTTCCTATTGGCTCCCCACTCTAAAACATGACAACCAATGAAAAGTCAGGATTTTGTTATTATCCAGCCTGCCACATGTGCACAAGTTGACTAGTGAACATGTTTCCTTAGGAAATGCAGCATGTGAACTAGAGAGTGCCTCTTGATGTGTACATGTCAACAAGTAACAGAAACTGTGCTTACTAGTTAACTAGTCGGAGTTTATTGTGACCTTCCATGTCAACTAGTGAAGCTTCAAAATTTTACACATCAAAATGTTAACTAGTGAGAGCAGCCATGTCCACTGCTTTTAGCGTCTCTGGCTTTACATGTTAACATGTACCTGCAGTTTTTCTTTCTAGTGAACCAGCTGTATGCAGAAAAATGAACAAGTTAACTGGAAGCACTGATATTTTGCTCACACACTAACTAGAGGCTTAACTAGAGTAAAGCCTTTTGTATCACTAGTTAACTAGTCATGCAACACAATTTTACTAGGCAACACGTATGGCAGTCACACTATGTCACTGGTTGACTAGTTGAATTAATTTTGCTCCACTAGCTCACTAGAGAGTGTTTGTTACTGGTAAACATGTTGCTTTTTTGGGCCTTACTAGTTCACTAGTGAAAGAACATGTCAAAGAACTAGTAAGGAGAGCTTTACATAAAACTGTAAAAATTCTGATTTGTAGCAATTACATGTTAACAGGTGAATCATTTGACCTGTACAAGCTTACTAGTGAGGGCAAGCAAGCATAGAGTAAGTGTAAATCTCCTTTTCTAGTTGTCTAGTCAGCATCTGAACTTATCTAATGAACAATTACAAAATATCTAATTAACTAGTTGATATTTTGCCCTCACTAGTTGACTAGTGAGGGCAATTTAACTTCCCTTGGCAACAATGACCTTTTCTCATTGAACAGCAAATTTTTCAGTTTCTCTATTTCATTGATAAGGTCCAAATTGGGTCCAACTAGTTAACATGTCAGCATGTAGACCATGACTTGTACCTCGTAAAAAGTAACAACTGTGCACTAGTTCTCTAGTCACCTAGTGGACATACAGTCTGGTCTCTCCGTATTATCTGTAATTTTTTTGTAATTTTTGCTAGATTTTTTCATATCTTTGTTGTCATTTTGTTGGCTGCTCATGGATACTTCTGCTGGGGGGAGAGTTTACTCAAGAGAAGAGCTCCTTTCATTGAGGAAAAGCAAATCTGGACAACAACATGCAATTCCAGAGGACATCAGGAGGTGTTATCGTGGTTGCCGTGCTAGTGAAAAGGTGAAGGCAAAGCTGAATGCTAGGAGGTGGTGATGACTCCAGTGTGGATCTACCTGGCTTCACTCTTATAAGGTCAGACAGAGCTGCTCAAGCTAGTGGCAAGAAGAAAGGAGGAGGTCTGTCTTTATTTGTCAACCAGAGATGGTGTAACCCTTTACACATAACTGTAAAGGAGAAGTTGTGTTGTCCAGATATTGAACTGTTGGCAGTTGCTCTTCAGCCATATTATGCTCCTAGAGAATTTAGTCATATCATAACAGTAGTTGTTTACATCCCACCCAAGTCAACTGAAGAAATTCCGTGTTTTGCAAAATAGTGTTGCCAGGCTACAGACTCAACACCCTGAGGCATTAATAATAATATCTGGAGACTTCAACCATGTCACCCTCTCCTTTCACCTGACTGGATTCACACAGTTTGTGAAGCGTCCTACCAGATAAAGCAAAACCCTTGATCTGCTGTATGCCAATGTCAAAGAAGCCTACAGAGCCACTGCCTTACCACCACTGGGCAGGTCAGTTTATAACTTGGTCTATCTGCAAACCTGTTACAGACCTTGCGTACTGAGGCAGCCTGTGACCAAAGTCAAAATCAGAAGATGGACAACTCAAGCCAGTGAAGCTCTAAGGGACTGTTTTAAAATAGACTGGAATGTGCTGCTGGAAACAGATGTGGATAGTATGAACATTGACAAACAGGTTGACTGCTTTACTGATTATGTCAACTTCTGTAGAGACACAGTGATACCCCAAAAAACTGAATGCCGTTCCCCAACAACAAACCCTGGATCACAAATGACATAAAAGCAATCCTCAACCAGAAAAAGAAAGCTTTTAATGATGGTGACAAAGAACGACTCAAACAAGTGCAACAAGAGTTGAAGAGGAGACTGACGATGGCAAAGCTGGAGTACAAAAAGAAGATTCTCCAACACAGCAACATCCGTGAAGTGTGGAGAGGAATCAGTACCATCTCTGGACACAGCAGTCAAAAGAAAAGACAGCCAGTGGTAGGTGATCTGGAAAGAGCTGATGAACTTAAACCTGTTCTTCAACAGATTTGACACTGCTGTCACACCCACTTCCACTGCTACTCCACCTTCCTCTCCGCAACAAATCTCCACTACAACTTCTCCCGTTCCTCCTCCATCTCATTCAAATGTCTCAACCACAGCTTGGAAGACTTTGTCCTGGGAAGGCAGCTGGTCCAGATGGTGTGTGTCTAAGGCTGCTTAGAGACTGTGCTGCAGAACTGTGTCAACTTCTCCACAGGATCTTCAACCTGAGTCTACAGCTGGAGCGGGTACCTACTCTGTGGAAAACATCCTGCATTGTGCCAGTACCAAAAACAAAATGTCCTGCTGAACTCAATGACTGCAGACCAGTGGCCCTCATTTCACACATCATGAAAACCCTGGAGCGGCTAATTCTATGCCTTCTGAGGTCTGAGGTCAAAGACAAACTGGACTCCCTGCAGTTTGCATACAAAGAACACATTGGAGTGGATGATGCTGTCCTCTACATGGTTTACCATGCCCTGTCTCATCTGGAGGAACCTGGGGTGTATGTGAGGATCATGTTCTTTGACCTTTCAAGTGCATTCAACACCATCCAACCTACCATACTCAAAGACAAGCTCACAGAGATGGTAGTGGATCCTTCCTGTGTTTCCTGGATCACAGATTACCTGACAGGAAAGCCACAGTTTGTCAGGCTGGGGAACTGTGTTTCTGGGACATTAGTGAGCAGTACAGGGGCTCCACAAGGGACAGTGCTGGCGCCATTCCTGTTCACACTGTATACGTCAGACTTCAAATACAGCACTGAGTCCTGCCACATCCAGAAATACTCAGATGACACCGCTATTGTGGCATGTATCAGAAATGGACAAGAAGCTGAATACAGAGATCTAATAGGAGCCTTCAGTGACTGGAGTCACAAAACCTGCCTCCTCCTCAACACCTCAAAGACAAAGGAGATGGTCATAGACTTCTGTAGATCCAAACCCCCTCTTAAGCCAGTGAACACCTGTGGAGTGGACATCGAAGTGGTGACATCATATAAATACCTAGGTGTACATCTGGATAATAAATTGGACTGATCTAAGAATATAGACTTTATCTCCAGAAAGGGGCAGCGCTGCCTCTTTTGCTTGAGACGACTCCGATCAATAGACAGCTGTAATAAGATGCTGCAGATGTTTTATCAGTCTGTGGTGGCAAGTGTTCTGTTCTACACTGCAGTCTGCTGGGGAGGAAGCATCAAACACAAAGATGCAAGACGTCTTAACAAACTGGTGAAAAAGGCTGGCTCTGTGGTTGGACTCAAGCTGGACTCCGTGGAGGATGTGGTGGAGAGATCTACACTGAGGAAGGCGGAATCTATTCTAAAGAACATGTATCACCCCTTTCACAACACCTTGATGGACCAAAGGGCCAATGGTGGTGGATGGCTCCTCTCGCTTCGCTGCAGGACAGAAAGATTCAGAAGATCTTTTGTACCAACAGCCATTAGACTTTATAACTCTTGTGTAAATGGTAGATAACTTTTATAGATATATGTGAGACAACAGACAACTGAATTTTCCTTAGGGGATTAATAAAGTTCTTGATAGTGATAGTAGACCTCAACGCTAAAGCTGGAATTAATTTCACAGCCTCCTATGGGATTTTTCCAGTCCACCTTAAATGTTGCATATCGCCCATTAATGTGAGTGTTCAGCCACAGATTTCACAATACAAATAGATGCTCACTTACTTTGCATTCAAGGTCCTTTTAATAGTTGGACAACAGCAGCAGAAACACAACAGTGAATCCACAGCCACAGATTTCACTCACTCATTCTCAAAGATAGCCATAAAAGACATTATATTACATGTATATATATATATATATATATATATATATATATATATATATATATATATATATATATATATATATATATATATTATATTTAAGGATGTGACGTGAAATGATGATCAGATCAGCCACTGCATTTATCGATACCTGATCAATTGTACATGACTGGTCAGCTACGACGGCTTCATGTATCCTTGTGTCCAATCGTACGGCGATTCCTGCACAACTTAGTGCAAGTTATAGATCACGTCTTAGCAACTTAAAGTGCCAGGTATCGCCTTTCTCCCCATTTCTTTAAAATTTATATGGAAACCTACAATTCATCTGGACAGATAGAAAAATAATGCAGCCTACTCTTTGAAAACTTTTTTATATTTGCCACCAATGTCTGCACAGAACTCAATTGGGAAGGTAGCAGCAAAGTTTTTACCAGGTTTTAATGGGTTAAAATTGAATTGGGTGGAATCCTGGCTTGAGAGCCAGTAGGACACCCACATGAAAGATTAATCCACACTCCCTTTCCCTCCTCCTGCATAGTTCAGTTGCCACAGGTTTACTTGTTGCCATTTTCCCCTGCACTTGTTCACTAGTAAACATTTGAGATTTACTAGTTAACTCGTAAGATCATTTTTCATTATTCTAGTTAAATAGTAAGCATTCGTAATAGCACATGTGAACTAGCTTACTGGTAAGGTCAAGGAAACATTCACTTGTTAACTAGAGGCAAAAACTCTCAGTATTAGTATTGATGTTAATAGTTCGCCTTCTACTAGTGAACTAGTATATATGTTAGCCCCACTGGTTGACTAGTGCTGCTGGAATTGGGTGTACTAGTCAACTAGTTGATATCTTATCTTTACAAGCTAACTAGTAAAAGCATTAGGCCCATCTAGTTTACTAGTAAGAGTAAAGAAACACTTTACTAGTGAACTAGTGAGCATGTTGCCATCACTAGTAAACTAGTGAGCATTTTGTCCTTCACTTGTGCACAAGTATCATGTGATTTCTGCACTCGTTAACTAGAAACCTTATTCATGGTTGACTAGTTAACATGTCAGAGTTGTACAGCTTACTAGTGAGCTAGTTTATTTTTTTTGACATGTGATATCACTGATATCATGGATATTGAATAAATACTCACTTGGCTCTTCATAGGATCTGGATTATATATGACTGGAATATTTATTGACATTTCTGTCCATAGTCAACTCTCCTTCTTTTTGAAACTTTGGAGCTAACACCCTTATAAATAAAACTGAACCAAACATTAAAACTTGTGTCACAGCTGTGGCTCTTCAGGCTGATCTCAGATCTTTCCCTGGTAACTATCCTGATTTTTTTAAATTTGAAGACCAGCCTGAAATGCTAACCAATGATTTGCCACAGTGTCAACAGGCAGAGATGTGTGAAATGTGTAGGACTCTTTGACCAGCTTTCTCTTGTGACTCCTTTTGATGTCAATAAAAATTAATGATTTAACATGATAATATACTGTCAATAACCACCAGCGTGCATCAACATTTATTTTCTGAAATGGACATTACAGTCTCTGCCATGTTTGGTTTAATCTGCAGTGAGCAGAAGGAGAAAAGAATGAGGGCAATGTAGAGAATAAAAGGTCAACAGGGAGAAGATTAGCTGACACAGACGAAGGCAAACCCCTGGTTGTGCAACTGGTAATTACTGTATAAGCTGCAATACAGACTGCATACAGCTCCAACAAACCCCACCCAATTGTGCTACAAGATGGAGAGCTGACATTTATCTGCTGGTCTGTCATAGCGACATTAGCACAGCTTTATACTCAGCAGAATGAAAAGAGCATGGCAATCCCATCACATGGCAGATGTAGGGTATAGAAGAGAAAATGGTGATTAGAAGGAGAACAAAATCATAATATAATCCCTCCGGTTTCAATTAAGGGATTTAAGAGCAGTGCACACTGTATTCAAGTTTTCTGTGTGTGTCAAGCTGATACATGTATAAGGAATGACTCATGGGAAAAATATATGCAAAGTAATGCAGAGGCAGCAACAATAGGCCAGTGTTTGATATGTACTTAGCAACACAGGAGAAAATGAAGGTGGAACAAGATGTGTTCAGTGCTGTTTCTTTTGGTTATTTTTGTCCACTCATGTTGTATTATGTACTGTGAGCTTTAAGGGATCATTATGCAAGGTGTTTTCAAGGTTGTACCAGAAAAACAAAAGGCAGTATATAATCCCAAAAGAGGCTCCAGTTGGGTTTTCTAAATCCAGGTCAGTCTGTGCCCCCTTTGACAGGCCGAATTTCATCATCTTTTGATCACAATTCCATTTAGCAGGATTTATTAACAGAATAATTCATGATTTGCAGCCACTTCCACCCGGGTGGTCACGATATAGTCTGGGAAAAATTGAAGAAAGAGGAAATCAGTGTGTGCTGTCCTCCAGCCACCTTTGAAAGAGCTTTTTGGGAATATCCTCCTCTTTCTATTTCGAAACACTACATTTGTAAAGGACAAAAATGTCCCAGTAATGATCTTTAGAAAACAAGAGAGCAGAGGTAAAAGCTGTGTTCACATGTAACATAACAAAGCAAGATACCAAATAACCCAACACCCCTTACACACTGTTTATCATGTCAATCTGCCTGATTCAGCACATGAAGATTATTTGCACATCTGACTTTGATTAATTTGGGAATCTGTCTCTATCTCGTCTTTCTAATCCTACAAGATGGCTGAGACAATAAACAAGAACACATAATGAAGAGATGTGCTGATGGTTGTCATCAGATTGCCAGGGCATGGTTTACCAAGAAATGGTATTTGAGGCTGGAAACGCCTCAGTGTATCAGTGTGTGATTTATAAAGACTCACCACTGCTTGGATTCTAACTTATTGTTGAGTAGCCCCCCAGAGAGAAATTGTGGCTAAAATAAAAGGAAATTAAGATAGTAATCCTTACTGCATATTTTCTCAATGTTTAATAAGGGATGGTAAACAAAAAGTAAAGAAAAATGCATAAAATAAAACAAGCTCCCAAAAGTACTGATGCAAACAGAGAGAGATGGAGCAGGAGGAGGTAAAGATGATGAAAAAAATGCATTCAATAAGGTTAAGGCAACCCAAAGCTCATCTTGCTATTTTCAAAAAATAAAGGAGAGTTTGCTTTCAGCCGCTGCCATTATTTAACTTTAATGAGCACAATAAGTGAATCCATCCACAGTTTTATATGTGTGCCAAAAAACAGATTTTATTTTAAAAAGACTTCTTTAGCGAAATGAAAGGTGCACAATGTGGAATGTAGTTATATCTATCACTATAATAAAATATACAATTCTGAATGTGAAATGTTAATCTTGGTCCATTCAAATACAACAAGAACAATGTAAAAAGGGCGGGTTATAGTGATGAAGGACCTGCTCAAACTTTCTCTCCACCAAATCTTTGAAAACTATTCACTGGTTCCAAAGATTGAGCGTTAAAGCAGTCCTTTCACTTACAGGGAGGACAAAACTTCTGATAATAAAGTGACTCTGCAGCTGAATTATTAATAAAAAGTGCTTTTCTTCCAAAGAACAGGGATCAGCATCCCACCGGAGGGGGGCCTTAGTTTCCAGGGCCCTAAAAAGCCTAACTGCACAACTTTGTTCTGCTATAACTCTGATCACCCAGACTGGTTTATAATGCACCATTGAAGCTGGTCAGTGGAAACAGGATCAATTGTAATAGTTTTTAAAACCTTCTTCTGTATATCACTGTGTCGTAAAGTCAGACTTTAGTTATGGTCTTGTTTCTAATGCTGTGGCAGTGACTCATGCGAGCTTAAATAGAGCTTCTCTTTCTTTAATTCATGAAATAGGAAAAAGGCTTCGAATTAGTATGGCAAGTTCAACCTTCTCACCAGACATGAAGAGATACATGAATTGGGGAAAACAAAAAAGGACCTGTGCCCTCTCTAAGGGCCACCAGGATGATGTCACTACACTCTAAAAACCCCTGGGTTAAAAACAACCAGGGTTGAAAAGGGACTGACTACTTATTGGGTTATTTTGACCCAGAATGTTGGGTTATTCAAATTAACCCAAATTTTGAGTTGACTCAATAACACTTTTTTAGGCTCAAGTTAACCCAATATTTGAGTTAATTTGACTTATGATCATGGGTTAAATTGATATATGCATTTGGGGAGCTTTTTTGGGGAGCTTTGCTTTTACAACCTGCTTGTACAACCTGTACCCTATTTTCCCATGTACTTTTGTCTAACTGATTGGTGGGAATCAGTTAGATAAAAGTACATGGAAAAACGCACCCATGTTTATGAGGTAGGCCACAGCGCTAAGGGTCTTGCCTCAGGACCCACACCGGTAGATGTAGTTCACTCCTTACAGATGTGTCTCATGCCGGATTTGAACCCCAAACCCCTGGTTGGGAACCAGATGCTACCCCAGCCGCCTAATATATATTGGGGTAGCTCAGGGTAGCTAGCTAAGGTAGCTAAGTTGGACCTTTCAACAGGTAGGCATGTAGCCGCTACAGTCACCACCCGGGCGCTGGTGAATTATCTCTCCTCCCGCTTGGGAGAGGAGGTCCCATATCTGAGTCACCACTAGTGGGTGCAATCTTCACTCTATCACGAGAGGACCCCCCTGGAGAGAAGGTCCGGCCCAAGGTTTAAGTGAACCGGAATATGTGTGGCTCTGAGTGACAGAAAATGAGCACTGCACCATAGTAACAGGGAGTGAGACAGTTTTAACAGGGGAAGAGAGCGTGTCCCTCCCTGCTTGTTTATGTAGGAAACCCGGATGTGATGTCTGTCCTTATCAGAACATGATGGCCTGTCAGAACGGGAAGAAAATGCTTCAGAGCTAAAAGGGTAGCTAATAGCTCCAGGTAATTGATGTGGAGCTTGCATTGTGCTGGCGTCCACACCCCTCTCACTGCTGTGCCCTCACACAGAGCCCCCCCCAACCCCTAAGGGATGCGTCTATGAACACCACCTTGCGAAAAGACACCCTCCCTATCGGAGATCCCTGTTGTAGAAAACCGGCTCTCTCCACGGGGGAGGAGCCGACATGCAAGATGGAGTTATCGTCAGCCTCCTCTGAAGGTGACGCTGCATGCACAGCTGGTGAGATTGAGTCCAGCGTTGAAATGCTCTCATCTTAAACAGTCTGAGCGGCACTACAGCGATCATTGATGCCATCTTGCCTGTCAGCTGTAAAATCGTTCGGAAACACAATTTGCGTCCCAACTGAAATTGTGCAAGGCAGCGGCGAAATGCAGCCACCCTGCATTCTGACAGACATGCTTGGCTTGAAACAGATATTTCCAGCCCGAGAAGTGATACCAGTTGACTCGGAGTCAGTGGACTTTTCTGTAAATTTACAGAAAAGCCCAGTGTTTGGATGTGAGATAGGGTCAATGACAGCTGAGCCGCTGCTCGCTCTCTGGTGCTCGAAATTAGTGCCCAATTGTCCAGATAGGCTAAGATGCGAACACCTTTCTCCTGTAGCGGAGCCAATGCCGCCTCGACACATTTGTTGAATGTTCAGGGGACGATAAGCTGAACGGCAGCACTAGGTATTTATAAGCTATGCCCTCAAATGCAAACCTTAGAAAGTGCCTGTGGTCCGGATGAATCGCTGTGTGAAAGTAAGCATCTGTCAGATCGATAGTTGTAAACCAGTCTCCCGGTCTGATCGTGCCCAATAGCTGTATGAGTGTTAGCATCTTGAACCTGTAAGTTCGTAGGTATTCCTTTAACACTCGCAAGTCGAGAATAGGATGGAGCCCTCCTCCTTTTTTCGCAACAACGAAATAGCGGCTGTACCAACCTTTGTTGGTAACAACTCGTATCGTTCTCTTGTTCAACAAGTTGTTTATTTCTTCCCTCAGAACTGCTGCTGCTTCTTCTGCTACAACTGTATTACAGAGTGGAAGCGAGGCGACCATGCCCTGAACTGTTCGTGGTAGCCCATGGCAACAGTTCTCTCTACCCACGGTGAGACTGCGCATGCGCACCACCGAGGGAGATGAACAGTTTGTCAACTTACCTCCAGCACTGTGGGGGAGGGGTTGTGGCCCTCTGGCGTGCCAGTGGAGAACAGCAACACTTTCCCACCCAGACTTGATTGATTTATGATGTTTTGAGAACAACTGGACAAACGCACATTTGTAACACTCACACAGTGAACACCCGGGGCCATTTTTGGGGCATGTGTGTGTGAAGGAAGGGTGCTTGGGAGACTGTGTTAGGGGAGTGCAGCACCTCCCGGGACCGGACCCCTGAACAAACTTTAAACGTGGCCAATCGATGCCAAAAACAGAAGGGCAGCAGCGCCTCCATGCTGCTGGGCCCCCTCTCAAGTCGATCCTGAAGCTATGATGACTGCTGCTTCTTCCTCCTGGGTGCTGAGCCCCTCTGGAGGCCAGGTGGTGGACCCTTGTTCCGAGCCAAGGTGCGTGGATTCTGACCGGGTACATGCTGCTTCACCGGCTGGGGTAGATCAGAGATGGGAGTAGTGGAGTCACCAAGTCATCTCCATGCCATGTATTTGTTATGCTCTGTCACTAAACCAGCTGCTTCCAATGAACAGACAGGAAGGTGAGCTCATTAGTGAAGGCACCTGGTTCAGTAACTGAGCAGAACAAATACATGGCATGGAGATGACTTGGTAACTCCACAATTTCCCATCTCTGGTGCAGATAACCCTGTTGTTTGGACCTCGCAACATGCCTGGGGATGATGCTGCTCAAAGTGTTGGTTTGTTTCTTCCTCAGCTCAAACTTTGCCTGAATTGTGTCAAGGGACTGCCCAAACAAACCTCTGGCCGACACAGGCTTGTCAAGATAAACTGCTCTGTCCCTCTCCGGAACATTAGAGAGAGTCAGTGGTGGCCTCTGTGCCACCACTGTGGAAGCCATGCCTCTACCTAGAGAGAGTGCTGCACAGCGGAACACACGGAGAATGTAATCTGTGGCAACTCTAACTTCATTGAGGAGAGGAGAAAGCAGACTGTCACACAAGCCGAGTCCTGCCAGACACATAGCTTGATATGTCTGAAGCATGGTGACGGAGCTCAATGCACAAGCCGTACTTGCCTGTGTCCTGTAAATCTTGTCCATCTGTGACACTGAAAACCTGCAGATCTTGGACCCCTGAGGACAGGGGTGAACAGAAGATCTCGCCTTCACTTTCATGGGCTCAATATAACAAGACACAGAAGCCCAATGAAATTAGTGTCGGCTAACACCAACAGGCAGGCATGAAAATCTCTCACCTTTCGGCGAAATTCGCCGTTTTGAAGTCAAAAAGGGTGACCTACACGAATCGTGTAGATCCGAAGAGAAATTTTTTTTAGGGGGGGTCGGGGTCGGGAGTTTTTTTTTTTTTTTTATCATCATGTGATTGACTTAATATGCAAACTGAGCACTTCAGAAATCGGCCCTTTAAATGACACTTGGACGGTCAGGAAATCCTCCCGGCTGCTCCGCTGACCAGAACCAATCATAGGCCAAACTGCGTGCTATAATTCCAATCATGCGCACACTCTTCACGTGTACTTGGAGAGCATGTGGTAGCATTGTGAACGAGAAGCAGGACTTATCCACGCCGGGGACAAGGCAGACCACACATTTACTGCATTTACCAGCAGATTGAATTTGGTGAGTAATGGTTTCAATCGTTTTCATATTTTGTGGTATAACAAAGTTACTGCCGTTCGCTACAGCTAGCGTTGAACACTGCCAGAGCTAGCCAAATCTCAGGTGTTATGCCGTGGAATGCACCCCTGCCGTAGAATGCATCCCCTGCATCCCCTCCACTTATGAGCTTCTTAAAGTGGAAGAAAATGATCTCATATTTTAAAATAACACGAGTATTGGATCATGACAACATGTCAAATGGAGCAGCAAACTTTCGTTCTGTTTTTAGGTATTTAAAAATGCACATACAGAGGTGTACTTGGGTATATGCTGTTAAAGTAGAGAACATTATATTTTCGGGGCAGCAAATATTCCGAATCAGAGGGCTATTGTTTTCGGCTTATCTGAATAGTCTGAATGAAATTATTAAAGGCACACGCTTTTGAATCAATCCAACGGTAAGGAAAACTTGGATTATTTCGCCTTGTCGTATACTTTCAACCGCGCTCCCGTCAGGGGGTACATTCTACGGCAGGGGTGCATTCTATGGCACAACACCTGTGGAAAAAATAGCTCCTGTTTGCTAGATATTAAGTTAGCGTCAAGCTTGTGTAGTTAACGGTAACATAAAAGAAGAAACACGAGCTTCTTTCTAATATCTCTGTAGTTGGTATTTCAGGGGCGCGTGAGGATAATATTCAGGTGAGGGGCTGACAAGGCTGAAGGTGAAGTGGTAAACTCTATAACTTGTTATCCTATGCTTTGGCCCATGCTTGAAGCCTTTTGTGACAAAATAAAAACATGTGAACCCTGGTCTTTTTTACACTCCTTTTCGCCGCTGATGTTATTTATTGATTCATTAAAACGTAATGGTTTTAAGCCATCTAAAATAGCGAAAGCGGGTGTCTCGCGTTTACTGCTCTGGCTCCATCCATTGACAAGACGGGGCGTCAATTTTTTTCAGCGCGACATTAGCGTGAGAGAAGACAAAAGGGAACAGTGTGTCACGAAAGGCTTGCCGTGTTTCGACCAAAAGCTACTAAAGCTGTTGTGTAAATCGCTATGTTGCTATTATTTTTAGTCGCTGCTGTAGCTTTTGTCACCATTCTAAGTCAGTTACTTCTGGCCATTACAGCTTTAGTAGTTTCTGGTGTGAACACAGTAAAGAGAGTGGTTTACAGTTAATACTGATGTACCACTTGCACTAATACAAACATAATCCTTGCAGAATGAGTGTGTTAGGGGAAGAGGACGTTGCAGCTGTTAAAAAGCTGGATGCAGGGATCAAATGCAGCTGGAAGTGGGCCTGGTTTAAGCTGAAGGGCAAGGTATCTGTCAAGGGACAAGAGGTGTCCTTTCACATTAGGGATTTCTTTAAGAAAGATAACAGACAGGGATTGGCCAGGTGTGTCCTGTGCCACAAGGACATAAATTATGCAAACAAGGGCAGCTATGCTTTGATTGCTCACATCCAAACTGAAATACATAAAAAGAAGATGGAAGCCATTGCATCCACACAAAGTGTTGCCAGCACTTTCCTCCCAGCATCAGCAAGCCAGAGTCAGGCAAGCCAGAGCCAACCAACTCAGGGCCCAGAAACTATAAGGCAGCAGTTCCAGGGAAAGATGCCAGTACCTGTAGTAAGCCGCATTGCAAATGCAGAGGTAGGTGTAGGTGTGTTAGATACCACAGGCAGCAAAGACACAGTACACCATCACTTTGTTTATTCAATTAACTTAATTATTACTATTATTATTATTATTATTATTATTATTCACAATCATACACCATCTTTGTATTCATTGCACACTCTGTGTTTTAGGCAGTGGTCCTTGGAGCCCTGGCGGAGCATTCCATCCCCTTTTCAATGGCTCCTGTAATTGTCGAGTTGCCCAGACCCTGTCCTTAGACAAACCAGCTCTGCAGGGAATGAAGCTGTCACGGACAGCAGCGTCCTACAAGATGATACATGGCTTGGGTATTTTCTTACCTAGTATTTCAGTGTTTTAATTTCTATCTTGGTGAACTATATGTTATACTGTTTTCCCATAATATTGCCATATTTGCCAAATTAATTGTGATGGGATTTATTTTTAATCAATTAGATTATGCATGTAATGTGACATCTGTCCAACTTTGCTAGGGCGGACGTTCTCAGAGAGGACATTTTCAAACATGAGGAGATTTTCCTTTTCTTTGAATACTGATGAGAGCACCTCCAACAACAACAAAAAGGTTGGTTTCATATCATAATACTGCCATCAAAGTGTCCTTATGTTTATGCTTCAGTGCGTGCCCTTTAAAATACTGTGTGGCTAAATAAAACCTTTGTATGTTAAAGGTCCTCTCCATGCTGGTGTGCTATTACCACGCTGACTTGCGGAAGGTGATGGTGGAGCATTTGGGGTCCCTGAAGATTCTACGAGTCGATGCCGCTTCATTGGAGAAGGTCCTCTTCGATTTCTTTGAGAAAAACAACATTCCATGGCACAACCTGGTTAGTTTACTGGTGGATTCCTGTGCTGTGATGAGGGGCAGCAAGACTGGCCTTGAGATCAGGATTCACCAACATTGTCCAAACCTGCTGGATGTTGACTCCTGTCACCACATACACAACGCCGCAAAGAAATTTTCCAAGGCCTTTGATGGGTATTTGGAGAGGCTATTTAGTGACCTCCAGGTTGACCACCAGTGGAGTCCAGACCAGGTAAACAAAATGCAAGCATATTTGACACATCAGTACTTTACCATCCTCTTGCATTCCACCAATGTCAATATATGAGCCATTTTTGGTATTATGGTGATTTGTGTTTGGATTGGTATTTTGGTATTATGACACCTGCTGGTGAAAGTCTGTATTGCATGTTACATTTTTTAATATAGCTGATGGGCCACCCAGCCTAAATGTCACAGGTGAGCAGTCTGTCTTGGTAAAACAAAGAACTGAACATTTAAAAATTGTGGCTTTGGAAAGTCTAGACCATGGCTGCTGACCTGACTGTACTGCATTATGTCATGTGTAGATTGTGTGTGTGTGTGTTTTCATTTCGTTTTCTCTCTTTTGTCAGGTGATGTACCTCAAGGAGGATATTAAATCTCCCCGCCTCCAGCCCACAGAGGGGCTTTGTCAATCATCGCTGGCTCTCTGCCTATGACGCTAGCATGGCAACCCATGCCATGATGCCAGCATACCGAGTGTTATATTATGGATTCCTCTCCACAGCAGACAAGGAGCTCTATAAGGAGCTATTAGAGTCTATCCTCACCAAACACAATGTGAATCAGACTGCAAGAGCGAGAGTCAAGGTGGTTCAGGACAAACTTAACAAGAAAGGTGTTGAGAGTTGACGTTTCAATGCCTAACAATTGGCACAATACTTGATAATGAAGTTACTGATCAGGAGGATTATGTCTTTTGTTGTTCACTTACATTTGTCTTTCACAGGCATGACTCCTCAAGGCCGTGAAAGGAAGAAGAGGATTTGTCAGAAATTGTGGCATGAGGAGAAGACAACGGCTCTTCAGCTGAGCCTACATGGGTGTGCTGGCTATATTAAAGGACTACGTCATGGTTTTCCAGGTCTGTGCTAGTTGTGCTTGGAAATACTACATCTCTACTGCAACTGTATGCACATTCAGTGTTAAGTTGGTCCATTTCCTAAGAATTTGTTTCCATGCACAGGGCAGCCAGACATTGGTCCATAAGCTTCATGATCGGCAGCTCGAGCTTTTCCTGGCCTACTTGGCTTGCTTTGTGAAGGCAGAACACATTACTAAGGTAATTTTTCTCCCTTAGGCTTTCTCTGCCTAGCTTAGTTAATTGGTTTTATTCTTATTATACTTTGGTTTCCCATGCCATCTGTTGAATGTTTCATTTTTTTTGTTAGGCAACCTTTTTTTTTTAAATTATTACTTCCATTAAATAATTCCCGTATACAGCTATCACCCAGGGCTCTAAGGGAGCTGGTCCTGGAGGATCACATGCTGCTGCCCTCGAAGGACGTATATGTGGGACAGGAGGCTGACATGTTCAGGAGCCAGAATCCCAAACATGCTGTAAGCACCCTGCATCACCTGCATGACTTTCTAAATTGTTTTTGAGACTTAAATAATGCTACATTTGTTCCAAGTCAGAAGCATGCTCAGTCTCTTCAGAGAATAAACCAAAAACTTTTGGCTGAGTTCTCTTTGGTCCAAGGTTATGTTATCCAAGGTTAGGTGAAAATAACTTTTCGCATGGACAATTTTAAAGCCCTTTTTGGACATTTCAATATAAATAATTTTTAACTTCATGGAGTGCCTTGGTCAAGAACAGTTATTCTTTTCACCTAACCTTTCTTAAAATAATGATCTTTGTTGTTTTTCTGTCAGTTGTTGGTGCCATTCCTAGCTAGCATCAGAAAAGCTTACATCACCACTGCAGTTTACCTCCAAAAGAAACTCCCCCTGGACAGTCCAACTCTAATAGCCTTCTCTGCACTGGACCCTCTCCTGCGAGGTCACTCACAGGCAACCATTCAGTTAAAGAGGTAAGATAAAAAAAATACTTTTTTCCTTTGGGATTTTGCTTACTCCTTTCGTTGATTTCAAGCTCATATCTATTTCTTGGCAGGCTGAGTGCTATGCTGAGTCACCTCTTGCCAGAAGACAAGGATCTTCCAAGGGAACGGATTCAATTCAGTGTTGATCTGACCCTCCCCAAGTACAAGGAGGGAGATGGGATAGTGGAGTGGTGGGGTCATGTCTTTGACCAGCCTGGTAAGTACCCCGCCCTCAGTGCATTGGCCAAATGCGGCTTGTGTATCTTCCACGGACCAAGAGTGGAATCCTCCTTCAGCCTGATGAACGAGGTCATTGACCAGCGTAGTGGCAACATGAACGCGGAGACCTTCAACGCCATCCAGACGGTGAAGTATACCCTGCGGTCCAGGGGGCAGACGGCCATGAAGATGTTCCAGCGGAGTGGCGTGAAATTTGGGGAGGAGGACAGAATCATGTGCCGAAATATAAATAATGCAGCAGTTGCATACAAACAGAAACGGAAGGCAAAAGCAACAGAAAGACAGCTGCAGCACAGAAAATATGGCTGTCAAGAAACTGAGAGTGCTCAGCAGGCAAAGAAGCGGGCTGCTGAAATTGAGTAGCAGGCAAGGCTGAGGCATGTGGCCAGTCAGCGTAAAAGGGCCATGGAGACTCTGGCGGCCCAGGCAAAAAGAAAAAAGTGATTCATTGTACTAAATAAATAAAACATGGCCAGCACAAGATGCATGTTATGTGGTTTGTGTGTGTGTGTGTGTGTGTGTGTGTGTGTGTGTGTGTGTGTGTTTGTGTGTTTGTGTGAGAGAGAGAGAGAGAGACTTCGGAGTGTTTTTGGCGCCTCCTGCAGATCACTGAAACACAGTGTGGGTGGTCAGAGCTCAATATTTTGTTGGGTTGTACAGTTTACCGGAACGTATTTCCTCCACACCCTTCTCACCTTTTCAACCCCTGACCCATTTTCATGCCTGAACAGGGGCAGTTAAGCTAAAATCGATCAGGCAGTAGCCACAGACATGACCAGGCTAAGCTAGCAGCAGCTAGTTAGCCCAACTCGGTGTAGGTGTTCTCAGTGAGGTGAAGAGCCTAAGAACTGAAGGATGACTGTGGTGTTACACGTATATATATGTGCAGACAGAGCCTCCCAGATGTCACCACAGATCATCTGCCATAAAGGCGTGAATAAAGGTGTCTTCAGTCAAGCCAAGCGGGGGCGTGATATCCCATACTATATGTGTTGTACCGAGTGAATCGACTGAAAGGGAACAACATCATATTCAGTGACTTCAGTGATTTTATTCTCTACCGTCTAGCTTTTTTCTTGGGTTCCAACTCAATCCTGTCCAGTGGAAAGGGACTTAACTAAATCACGTACCACCCTACGTGTGTTGGATGTAATTTGTTTTGCACTAAGTAGCTCCTATCTGTTGGACTAAAGAGGAGTGAATGTGCAACTTACAAGAACCAGTGAAGGCTAAATTCCTGATGGAATGTGAAACACCATTACAGGTACGATGGAGCTCAGCTGGATAGTATAAAAACCATATGTGATGCCTGTCTCTCTGAGCTTGGCTTTGAGTGGGGTGAAAGCTGCTCAGTGGAGACTGAGCTCTGCATCCACGTCAGCTCACCCTGCTTTCTGGAGACTTGTAGAACTGTCTCCTTATCTAAGCAGAAATGCAGTTGAACTATCACAAGTCTGAAACGGTAGCTGGGTTTCAGACTGGATAAAAAGTCTTGTCTCCTAGAACCTCAGTTAGAGAATGACAGCTGTGGGTTTGCCTTTTTCTGAGCCCTCAGGGATCCCTATAATCCTACAGTTCTGGCATTGACTTCTGTTTCCTAGTTTGTCATCCCCATCTTTTTGTTTCCTGAGTGTTTGTTTGAGTTTCAGTGTGGTTTCCTCCAGCTCGGTTATGCTCATATCTAGTGCTGGGCAATAAAATGATAATGATATATATTGAAAATTAATTTCCCTCAATATCAATATGAAACATGGTCGATATGCTTTTCGATAGCCAGCATTCTGCCATGATTTGGTTGACTTTACCAATGGCCAATCAAAAAAGGGGGAGTTGCTCAGAGTCCTCGCTGCGCTGAACCAATCATGTGCTGAGTTAGAGCCAAGTAGCAAACAGTGTACTAGCAGACTGCAGCTATATGCAACAGGTGAAGCTGAGGGGGGAAAAAAAAGAGTGCTACCCCTGGCCCAACAGATGACGACATCGTCGACAAGACTGGCCCAAAAACGGTGGTGTGGAGGTATTTAGGGTCTTTAAAGTTGGACGTGAGGCAGAGAGGTGTGCACTGCAAAACTTTACAAACCCCGAGCATAGCAAGTACGAAGCAGCCCACAACGCCTGTGCAGCCAAAACAGCCGACCATTAAGACTGCTTTCTGCAGTGCTGTGCCATACAACAAAACGTCTAAGAGGCACAAAGACCTCATAGATACAGTCGCTTATTGCATTGCAAAAGATATGTTACCAATAAGCACAGCAGAAAAATAGGGATTCAAGTTGATGGTTAAAGTAATGGACCCTTGTTACCAACTCCCTGAGCATAAACATTTCTCCAAGACCGCGCTTTCACTGCTGTATGTGCAGTGTAGAGAGGTAATTGAGAGGAACAGCAAAATGTTTCATACTTTGCCACCGCTTCAGATATGTGGTCAAGTTTCACATCAGAACCATACATGAGCCTAACTGCCCACTTCATAGACCAAGATTGGATTTTGAAAAGCAAATGTCTGCTAACTGCATACTTCTCCGAAGACCATACAGGTGAAATCATTGCTGCAGGACTGTCTGAAGCACTTGCATGCTGGGGCTTGCGTGAAGACAGACAAGTCTGCATCACGACTGACAGTGGGACGGATATGGTCAAGGCCACATCCTTGAACAACTGGATTCGGCTACAATGTTTTGGGCATTGATTCATTCAGCTGTTGGTAAGTTCCCCTCTGTATTTTCCTTGCCTTTGCTGTAACAATTATTATTGGGGTGGGGAATAAGTAAATAAAAAGAATAAGGAAAAAATGAATAATAAAAAAGAAGTACAAAAAACAAGTTGAATTGAAAAAGGAGAGAGTAATATAAACACTATATACTGTAAAATAACACCTGAAATAATTTAATTATAAATAATTTCATTTTTACACAGAGGAAGCAGGAAAAGACAAGAGGGTGGAGCAAGCTATGTGTGTATGCAGAAAGCTGTGGCTTCCTTCACTTTCTTGTGGAAGAAGAAGAGAGCCTTGGCTGCTGCCCAGGAAGAGTTTAACCTACCCCAACATAAGCTGGTCACCAGGTGGGGCTCACGTCAGAAAATGATTGAGAGGGTGTTGGAGCGACACGATGCCATTTCTCAAGTACTGGGTGCAGATAAGAAGACCAGGCACTTGGTTTCTTTATGGCAAGACCTAGAAGTGCAGGAGAGTATGCATGTGGCCCTTAATCCACTGCTGGATTACACTGATTCACTCTCTGGTGAATGTCAAGCCCCTCAAGCCAATGCTGCATCTCTTCAAAACACAGATTCTGAAAACTTCTGATGATGACTCACAGCTCACAAAGGACATAAAGATGGCAGTCATGGCCTACCTGGATGAAAGTATGCTGACCAGAAAACAGATGACCTGCTTGATATGGCAGCCTCGGTGGAAACCCCCATTTTAAGGTACAATACATCAAGCCAGAAAAGATTGACACCATCAAAATGAGAGCAGTGTCTGAGATGTTGGAGGGAAACCAGCACCTGCCTACTTTATCCAGAACAGAGGGACCAGGAGAAGAAGGGGCTGGAGCTGCTGAAGTGCTACCCAGAAGAAACAGAGAAAATCATTGGGCAGTTTCTTCAAAAAATCTTGTCACACCAGCGCAGGACTTACTGTTAGAGAGACTGTGGAAAGGGAGCTTAAAAACTACTTGCTGCTACCAGATTTAGTCAGTGAAATTGACCTGCTGCAGTGGTGGAAAATACACGAAAAAAACTTCACAAGAGTGAGCGTCCTGGCAAAGTGCTACTTGTGCATCCCGGCTACCAGCACCCCTTCTGAGAGGGTATTTACCACAGGGGGTAATATTGTGACCTGCCACAGGGCAGCTTTAAAACCGGAAACAGTAGATAGACTTGACTTCCTTGCTCATGACCTGCAGACTTATGTCTGTCTGACTGAAAAGATTTACAGCACTGAGGGACAGTACTACAATAATGAAGGTTTCTTGTGCCTTTTGTTTGAGCATTGGCTTGTAACAGTTTAGTAAACAGAGTGAATGTCTATTTCATTTATATTCTTTTGGAAAGCTACTTGAAATTGCACAATGATTGTTTTTTATTGTTTCACTTTTCTTGTTCAAAAAACTATATGAAGGGGAAGCCTTGAGAATTTATTTTTATTTTGATACCCATTTCATTTATTATCTGACATTGACAAAAGAATGTCCATTTTGTATCTGTTGTTTCCTCTCCTAAGCTTAGAGATTTATGTTTTCAAATTATTTATCATTTATTTATTATTTAAAAAAAAATTCGGAATTGTTTATGTGTTTGAAACAGTTTCATGTTACATAATGTCATGTTTAACTTTGACAGAGAATAAATACTTAAACAAAAATGACCCTTCTGTTATCTTTAAATTTCATTTAAGAGTACCAAGGAACATTGAAGATTGACAAGTGATTTTTTTTATTGCGTGATATATACCGATATTGACTGATATGAAAGAAAAATATCACAATAAACTTTTTCCCATATCGCACACCATTACTCGCATCATGGCGATTCAGAGCATCCACGTTTACCTGAACTGTGGTCCAGAATTCTGTCTTTGAAGATGCAATTTTAGCTTTTGTATTCTGTTGAAGAGCCTCCAGGTCTTGTTTGATCTCAGCACAAAAGCTAACCATCTCTTATTTAGTTATGTCCCCCATTAATTAACGAGAGGCACCCATCTCTTTTTTATTCTTCGGGCTCTTGTGTTGATGATGGGAGGTCTAGGGACAAGTGGTAGGGCTAGCACTAGGATTGACTCTTAGGGCTCTATTATGTGCTCGCCGGCGGTGCGGCGTAGGGTGGTGCACCTCGTGCAGTGGTATTTTCATCTGGCGGAGCCCGGCGTACAGCCAGTTTGGTGGTGTGATGGCATGGTAGGGGGAGGTGTCGACAGAATCAGCTGGCCCGGTGACATTTTCATGCTCGCTGGCAGTGTAAAAAGTGCGTGGAAAGCTCGCCGATTCAAACCTGGTCAGCTTTTAGCGCAGGCAGAGCGCAGCTGGTCTAGTGGTATTTTAGTACACCGGCGGCGTAGTGCACATTAGAGGATGACATTTTTCGGGAATTCCTGTGGGTCACCTAATTCCCGCGGGAATCGCACAGGATGGGAGTCATTTTTAATTAATCCCGTGATTGGGACAGGATGGGAAAAAAGGGAGCAGGCGGGAACAACATTAATAGATGATCATTTTCAGCCGATCACGGGTTTAATTAAAAAATTATTCCCATCCCATGGGATTCCCGCGGGAATCACGTGACCCACGGGAATTCCCAAAAAATGTCGTCCTCTAGTGCACATACGTCATGCCTCACAGGTAGGTTTCCACAGAGTCAGGCACGTTTCAGTGCAATCAATAACAACCAATATTCAGAGTCAGCAAATACATTTACATCTATGATATATTCTGATCTGTATCTGATCTTATGAGCGCGTTTAGCACGCATTTAAACACTCAACCTGACCAAAGTAACACAGCTGAAACCACATTAAATGAAATTAAATATCTAGTAAATAGACACACATGATGAAGTTAACAAGATATTTAACTCGTCTCCCCCCTATTTCTATCTTGCTCTTCCTCTTATTTCTCCTCTTATTTCTCGCGCAATTCGACCTGGACCTCTGTGTCCTCTCTCCGTCCTGTTGCTGCAGCAGCAAGGTTGACCATATGATTTATTTTAGTGATCAGATTATTAACTTTAAGTTATTAACTTTAAGCCAACATACACATATTATAATATTCAGTTGCATGAGCTAAATTAATTTTATATGCCAACATCTATGAAAGAAAGAGACAAGCCAAGGAGCGCGATGTGTCCTTCACGCACAGGTGGTTCCAATTTTGATGCCATTATTGGAATTTGTTTTTGTTGTGATCTGTGCACACAACCCACTTTTGTCACGTGAGGTTTGAATATATGCAACTTTATGTGAGTGTCTTTATTTGTGGAAAAGGATGTTTGTCTTACCAGTGGGTACAACCTTACACACACCAAATCCACACCAAACATGTGCTTGTATGAGACAGTGTGGAGGACGCCCTCTGCATATTTTAAAACATATGGAGCATGCCATACCTGTGACTACTCCATGTCCAGTTTAGATTGGAACTCTGTTGGCATTGTTTTTATGTCCAGCTACATTGTAAAGGAGGTGCATGGTGTAGGCTTCTGCAGAGGTATCGGGCTATGCAGACCTTTGCCCAATGCTATGGTGTGGGTCAGATGAAAAAATATAAACCAGGCGCAATCCTCCTCAGGATTTTATGCTGTCACTTGTTAACACGATTCTTTAGTTAGAAGCCCAAGCCCAAGCTGGAGAAATCTTCAGTTCTCTGATGTGACATTTATTTAGGTCACAGGTAAAGTAGTACAGGGCTGGACTCAGAATGACAAAGCTCCTAGGATGTCCATCACAACAAGTGCTCATTTCCAAGTATCATTTATATTTATCTTTGATAAATGTGGGAGACCTGACAGCAAGAGGTTGGATTTACTCCCAACCGACTGTCATCGGCCAGTTATCTTTGGCCAACCACTGATCACGTGGTTTTACTAAAATGTGCTGTGTAAAATGTGAGTTGTGACCTTAAGGCGTGTATCTGCTAGCAGTCCTGTCCAGCAGAGTAAAGAGAGCTTTGTGGTTCATCAAGTTCCTGCCTATCAAGCTGCTTATCTGGTTAAATGAAAACAACCTGAGTTAAATGAAAACATCCAGAAAGTTGCATTAGTTCATTTGAAAAGTACAAATCTGAATCGTAAGTGAACTTAGAACAGACAGTAAGGTACATGAGTTCCGTGAAAAAGTACAAATCTAACGTTAGCAAAGTGAAACACAATTATAATACGCCCTCTTAGCAAACGTTAAGATTGAACAATGTGCTAATTTGTATCTTTCATCTTTAAGAAAATTCATGTGAGCATTACTCATAATCTGCTGCATATCAAACCAGTGCTGCGTATGAGAAGTTCAAAGACACTCAAAGATGACATCAGTCACTGTCCTCAATGAAAGAAGACAGTGATAAACTCAAGCACAGTATTTTTCTTCATGTTCTGCCGCTGCTTCACTTCTTCATCTCTTTATCCTATCAAGGTATTGCATGTAATATACTGCAAATGGGAACAAAGGCCTCTTTTTCTGCTGCAGGTATTTATACCCCTTTTGTTCGGAAACTTTCAAAGGTAATTGAGTTTGAATTAGTGTTTCAGCACAGGTGCGGGGCAGCTTCTTTAACCAACAGGGAGTTTTCGGATTGTTGAGAGGTCATGAAAATTTCATAATTGGAATATTATCATCATCTCCTTGGAAAGCCTGCCAGCTCTAATGCTTTTGGTAGCTGCTCTGACATTAGCTCCTACTTTCCTCTTTACTCCTAACAGCCTCAAGATTAAGGTGCTTGTGGGAACTGTCAGAGATAATTCCCCACGTCTTTGAAGAGCTGGATTTACGTAAGTATGTGAGAGAATTTTGTATACAACCTGGTGTTTTTCACCTCTCTGATCCGCAACTTAAAATGCATGTCGTGAAGTCAGTCAATGTGAAACAAGGATGGAGGTGGATGTTCCTTTTTTTACTCTCACCTCACCTGTAGTGCCACAACTCTAGTAAGAAACAGAGAGGAGAGGTGTGTTACCCATACAACAAAAGGCTCAGACTCTAGTGTAATTTCAGAGAGGAAACAGAGTGTTCTGACACGTACTGGAGGAGGCGCGGGGCCTCCCATGGTTGGTCCGGTGCAGGGAGGCGTGGAGCGACCTGAGGAAGACTGGCAACAATCTGCTTCACTTTGACATGCAGTCTCCTCTGGGAAACCCTGACAGCAATCCCATCAATGGAGACCAAGAGAGTTTGAAAAGTTTGTCGAGACTTTTATGTCTTTGTTCTTTGTTTTATCTCAGTTAAAAATGCCACTTTCAAAGCAGGAACGTGAATTTTTCTCTTTTAGATCAAACCAGCCAAACTTATCACAAACATGCTGAATGAGGTATTCTTCTTTGTTGATGGGCTGATGATCACTTCAAGAAGACATATAACTGCCATTTACTTCACTGCCTTCCTTTGGCATCCTGATAAATAAAGCTAAAATGCACCCTGCCTGACTGTCAGCTTTAGAAAAAGTCAGCTTCATTAATCAATCAAACTTCTGATGTGAGGTCAAAGTAAAAGATTGAGGGATAATTTATGAATATATTTTTTTCAAGCAGGCATTCAGGCCTGTTTTTCTCAGGAAAATTAGCTAAAGAACTTGGTTATAAACACTTTGATCCTGCTTTGAGGCCAAGAATTGGGCTACATAAAAATGTGTCTGCAGTCTTTAGGATGGTTAAGTGTTACATGACAATGAAGGTGAAAACATGTAAGCATACCATCTTCAGACTACAGCTCATGTTATCATGAGTTTCTGTTTTGTCTGTTTGATATTAGCGATGTGAAGATTTGATTTGAAAACAGTGTAATCTGACAGAAAAGTTGAAAACATGGAAGCATACAGTCTACAGACTACAACTCATGTCAGACCAAGACACTAAGGCAGAAGAACTACGCGTTTGCAGTGCTAATACAAGGTGCACAAGAACTCTAATTGCATTTTCATGAAGTAATGATCATAAATTTTCTGCTGCACTCTGTGATTGACTGGGCTCCCCCACAAACAAGCGGCTGCTGGAGGAGAGTGGTTGAGTTGTGTTTAGTCTTTGCTAAAGAAACCAGGCAAAGCTAAAAAGATGTTTGATGGCTAGTACTATGGCTTGGACCCTATATATATATACCCCTGTACTGTTGCTGAAGTTAGTTGCTGTTCTGAGCATTAATTGTGGCTATAGAGTGGCTTTTTGGTTGATGTTTGCGCGTGGAGACAAAGACCGCTGTGTATTGCTATCGTGCAGTCATTGCTGAAGTTGGTGGGGCTAGAGAAGCAAGCTGTTAGCAAAATTAATCTCTTAAGGGAGGGTCTAACTCGGTGTTACGGTGTGTTTGACCATGATTTAAATGGCTCCTATGTGAATATAAACCAAACCAAGCTGCTAGACTATGTGAGGCATGATGTGCAGTGTCTTCAGTCCAAACCCCAAACATCCATCCCCCCACCCCCATTTCCACTCTCTTAGCACTAAATCATGTGGGGGAAATGCTCAGTAGAATAGCAGCTACTTCAGAGATGAAAAGGGAACTTATGAGGGATATCCAAGCATTGGACAGCTTGCACACAAGCATTTGGTCAAGACACTGTGATGCAAAATCCCATTACTGTGGCAGAAAGTGGATCTTTCCTTTGGTTAGAGAGCTTTGAGACCTACCATGTACCACTCAGTGCAGTAAGGGACCACTGGCATGGCTTACAGAAGCCTAAGGGTTATATGTGTCTGCATACCTGTACACACTACACTGCACACAGTCAGAGCTTGTCCGAGGTAACATGAGGCCTGCAGGGGTCTGGTGTGAGTTGAGGAAAGGTGGAGGAGATGAAAAAAAGAATAAAGCACAAGAACACACCATCAGCTCAGACTGTAACTCAATAATAGTCCCTAAGCAGGTGGTTCAATGAAATTATTGAGGTCAGAATTGTAACAGACGTTTTCTACATGATGGCTGTCACATTGTAATGCCTGGCTCTGCTGGACAAATGTATGAAATAAGTGGGACTACCTAGGTTAGATTTTTCTGTCCAAAGCATGTTATCAGTGTCCACCAAACTGGGTAAGGCAGCCTAAACTCAACCTTAGTATACGCATAAGTGAATGGATGTTTTTGTATGTCTGCAAGACTATGTTGTACAGATTTATGTTGGTGCCAAGCATGTGAGAATGCTTCAAAGGAAACAGAAGAAAGAGCTGTATGGGATGATGACTCTGATGAAAGTGATAGTGATGCGTAATATATGCACCATGTCACCATGTACAATTTGTTTTGTTTAAAGGATTGCTACACCAAGATTTGAGATTTTTATTATTTTTATATCTGTTCTACATTTGTCTGCATTTGTGTTTTGATCTTTATTTTCATATTCTGGAGGGATTGATAAACGTCAGATGTTTTGACTCTGTGATACTTGAATAAATGTTTTATACCATATTTTGAATTAATTCAGACCTTTTGTGCATTTATTTTTGTCTTGTTACATTTTTTCCATTATTCCAATTTTGGGGGGCGTGGTAGCAATTTGATTGACTTTTAGCCATTTATGGCCATGATGTGCTGTTTATATTTTATTGCTTTTATTACACAGTAGGTTGTGTCATTTTTATGTATGAAACATAAGCTTTTAGCTAAATTTACTGTATATATTTCATTGTGCTGGGTGCAAATCACTTGAGTTGAGACATTTTCTTCAAGAAATTTGCTACATTTCATAATCTGAATTCACTTATGCGCATACTAAGGCACCAATAACTGTATCAGATGTTAGGTAGATGTATTTATGACATTTGAGAAAGATTTTGTCTTGCCAGAATCAACATAGCAGTTTCTACAAGCAAAAACAGCAGCACCATATAATTGTTTTTTGGGTTACTCACATAAATGTACATTTCTGGCTGGTGACAAAAGTCGGACAGAAAGTCTGAGTAGATATTTTAACCCAAAGTCCAGAATGGTATTGTCTATGCAAAAATGCATTGAACAAGTAGCACCAGCGTTGTTGAACAAAATTCACTTTCTAGGCACTTTTTCCTTTGTCCCAATACAGCCTATGACCTCGAGCGAAGTTTCTTTCGTGGAGTTTCAGATGCTGTGGACGTGGATGCATCAGCGATGCTGGCTGAAGGGTTTGACTGACCCGCGGCTGCATCACGTTCTTGTTTCTCAAACGCCTTTTGCAAATAAATCGCTGGTAGCATGTCATGTGAAACCCAGTGTCATCAGGAACATTGTCAAAGTCGATATCAATGCAATGTTTATAAGTTTCTGCAAGGTCCTTTGTCTCACCCTGTAGAGAAAGCCACTTTCTAATACTAGTTCTGTAAGTTTCCCAATGTGTCCTTGTAAAGTCGGGAACGTCTTCACTCTGGACACATGAAAGATGCATATAGCATCGTTTCATTCCTTTTTTATGCACTTTTGAAGGCTGTTTTCTTTTGTTTCCTGTTCTTTTCTTCCTCTTCACTTGTCTCGCTGTTAGATGCGCTCGTCGCCATGTTTGTGTATTTCTGATACTATGGCAACGAGACTCGGCTCCTATTGGTCCAGGTGACAAAAATTGCTTCACCCCTCTGCATATTTGATTGCGTGTGTGCAAGAACCACTACGCCGCAGAAAGGAAATAATTCGACACCGAAACACTGATTACTAAAAATCGACTGAATGGCATGAGTAGATATTTTTTTTGAGTACTTACTATCAATAGAGCTATTTTATGAATCACAGTTTATGTTGCCCCACCGAAGTGGAACGAACCAACACAATCTCGCTCAGCCAATACAGCCTATGATGCCTCACCGGCAGGTTTCCACAGTGTCAGGCACATTTCAGTGCAATAAATAATCATCAACAACTAATAATCCGTGTCAGCACACACATTTAGATCTATATCGATATATTCTGATCTATATCTTATCTGATGAGCGCGTTTGGCACGCGTTTGGACACACAACCTGACCGAATCAACACAGCTGAAACCGCATTAAATTAAATTAAGTATCTAGTAAATAGACACACATGATGAAGTTAACTAGATATTTAATTTGTCTCCCTCCTTTTCTGTCTTCCTCTTCCTCTTATTGTTCGCGCAGCTCGACCTGGACATGTCACCGTGTCCTCTCCCCATCCTGCTGCAGCTGCTGCTGCGGCGGCTGAACAGATGATTTGTTTTAGTGATCAGATGAGTGATTTACTTTAAGCCTACATACGGATATTATAATATCCAGTTTTGTGAGCCAAATTTATTTTATATGCCAACATCTATGAAAGAAAGAGCCAGGCCACGGAGCGCGATGCAGAACTAACTTACGCCGTGCCACGTCTCCGGCGAAGCACGAAAATAGAGCCCAGGGTTTCATTTGCATAACCAGTTCATAAGCACCAGGCAGACTTGGAGTTATTGACAGAAGCATGTCAACCTTCATCACAGTAGATGACGACATGTCTCTTTTCAGTTTACTTCTATCAGGCCGTCTCGCAGTTGATCGATTACATACCAAAACAATTAACAAAACTTGTAAGCATCAGGCTAATGGGATGTGTGTGAAATAGTGAAAACACCACCTTTTGTATGTCTTTACCAGTGGGGGCTGCTAGTCTTTCAAGGAGGGGAAGCTCATTTTTCTGGCCGACATCATAATTGTGTTTGTTTGTTTATTTGTATGTAACAGAACAGAGTCGCCAAACACAACGGCAGTCGTTTTTAACAAAGACAAAAGTCGCTGAGGATCGGTAAAGTCTCCGGCGCAGTTAAGAACAACAGAATGAATAACTTGGAAAATGCTCTGGTTGATGTTTTATTCTTCAAGATCGCTGATTCGCTTGTTTAGCTGTCAATCAAAAAAGGCCTCAGACAGCACATCCAATCATGGATGCAGAAGCTCAGCGTCCGGGTGAAAGTTGGGACCGCCCTCTCGTCATAGAACTCCAGAGACGCTGAGTGTCCGATGGGCGGGACAAAGCCCAGCATTTATCCAATGAGCGTCTAGTTTCGCTGCTGGAACAACCCACTTTGAAAGACGCTGAGCGTCCGGCTGTGTGAAGCGCTGAGAGGATGAATGAGAACGAAGTTGTGCCAGTTACCTGTGATTATCAGCTTCTTATCACAGTGTGATAAGAAGCTGATTCTGAACAAAAGATGAAGGCTTTCTAGCGCGTATTTAGTTAATGAAATGTACACACAGCAGTACGTATTTCACCACTTTTTCTTTTTTTGGGGGGGTTGACATTTTAAGGGAAGCTGAGCTTCCCTTGCAGTCTTAGAGCAATCGCCACTGGTCTTTACATAGACTGTCCAGGTTTTGTTAACTGCTTTGTTTCCCAGCAATAAACCTGAGCTATTTAGCTGTAAATAAGTATTTTCACTTAACTCTCAGTGTGAAAGCCAATAAGCTATTTTAAAACTTGACAACAAAACAGGCGAAAAGAGGGTGGAAGTCTTGTTAAAAATGGAAAATACTGAACTACTTTCACACTATGTTTTCTCCATAAAGAAAGGTTGCAGTGAAAATCCTAATGTGCTGACAGTCCAGACAAACTTTGTCTAATGACAAAGAATCATCTTTGTCATTAGCTGTTGCATAACCAAATGATCCCGATCAATGTGAAAAGTTAACTGTGATGTAACAGGTGATAAAACTTCATGAGGAAATTAATAATGAAATATCAAATGTCATCAATGTATCATCATCATCAGCAGGCGCGTCAGACATTTCAAGGAGTGTTTTTTTTTCCCACAACACAAAGCTGATGAGGACAGCAGAGCTTTTTTTGGCTTCAGTACAGCTGGTGTGTGTTTGTGTTTGTGAAAGTTTCTGACACTCAGGGGAACGACTCACTGCTGCAGCTTCATGTCATCTAACACTGCAGGCCTCCGATGAGCTGGCCCATGCTTTGAGTTTCAGATGTCTGTATTTGTGGAGGTGGGCGGCTTCAGGATCCCTGGAGTATTTGAGCTTCATAACAAGTAGGGCTGTAATGCATGCAGAGTCAGGTCTATGAAGGATCAATAATACAGGAAGCCCTCTCACTTTCTCTTTCCTGCTCTCCCGGCTATGAGATGCAAATAGCAGGCTCTCATTTTATAATATTTTTTTTCACAGCCTATCAAAGCTATAAAAACAATCAACTCAGCACATGAAAACGACAACTCAGTACATGAGTCAGTGGGAGTGTGGTGAGGGATTTAAAAATGAACATGTCCTTGGGATAAAGGATGGCTCCGACTTCATCATGACTCTTCACATCAGATAATGCAGAACCAGCAGAAATATCTGCACTCTTTCACCATCCTGCCACAATAAAACACCAGAAAATCTCCCAGAGCTCAATACATGAGGTTGGAGATATTTTTAGTCTTTTTCTGACTGGACAGAAAAAGACACAAAGATAAAGATACAAAGATTTAAAAGCGATGAGAGGAGTTACCTTCAAGACTGTGGCCTAAAAGTGACATTTTTAACATTATTTTAGCACTGATATCTGGGCAGACTGAGCTGTGCACTAATGCCACACATGGGTAAGATGAAGTAATAAAAAAACAAATTATTCAATGTATCTTACTGATGCACAGTATAGGACTAAAGATGCATCAGTGGCTTCAAACATCAGCCTTCACAAGCCTGAAGAGGATGTCTCTCTACATTAGTCACTGTAAGCTAACTATTTAAAAAAAAAACACCTCCAGCTTTTCTGTGGTTCCTTTTTTCAAAGACTGATGGTAGACCTGCAGTTGGACAGTGGAGGGAAAACCTGCATTTTTATTTGTATGTGCTCAGAATTGAGCCGTTTTTCATGTTTGGGTGCTCAGGGCATTTCTCCGAAAATTGCAAGGAAAGCGAGTGAATAAAAGTGTGGCGCCTGGAGCCCAAAGCAGCTCACAAAATGGTTCAAAAGACCCCAAACAATTACAAAAAGGTATTTTGAAATGCTAAAAATGCATGCTGTGTCATCAGAGCCATCAAACTTTAACTTTTGCAGGTGTCAGAAGTAACATCAGCAGTAAATGGGCGAGCCAGGGGCCAAACAAAATATCAGTCTGAGTCATCTAAAATATCATATCTCACAAATATCCTCTCTTCAATTTAAACTCTTCTTTTGTAGATTCAAACTATTCTCTAGCTCAAGGGATCACCGTGCTTACTGTGCTGTCTCCTCTCTGCAGGGTCCCCAGGGGGTCTCACAAAACTAGGTGCTTTGGCTGATTCCCCAAAGCCTCCCTAAAGTGTAGACAGTTAGCATAATGACTCCAATTGAGTCCTCGACATCTTCTCCATTAACAAAACACACCGTATTGATGGTCTGGTCCCAACCAGTAAAACTGAAAACAGTACTTTCACAGTACTAAAGCTTCTATCAGGACTTTTCCTGTATCAAAGAAATGTACTGATACTCATATTGATGCCTTTTTATAATATCTTAAAGTAAACAAGAACATCAGCAAAGTCAATAATGATTTTCGTATAATAATTTTTCAATGTTTGAAACTTGTACGAAGGGACAGGTGTCAGACAAACAGCTTGAGAAACAGACCTGTGTTTACCATTTTCACATGAAATGAGACATTTAAATGTCAGAGGTAACCAAGATGAGCTTTTTATTGTTTTTTTTTCCACAAGTCACCACTAATGCATGTAGAGGACAAGATAAACAAAGAATGCCTTGTCCACAGGGGGGTCAGAGTTGAGACTTAACAGTTCCTTACAGGAGCTTTACATCAGAGAAATAATTATAATTTTATTCCCTTTACCATCATGATCATTGAATATTAAACAGCTCCACACAGTATGTACAGAAGCAGAAACAGCAGCAGTAGCAGCAGCAGTAGCAGCGCTGCCTTTAAGCTGCAGCAGAGTCTGAACTCTGAGCTCATGAAAAACTGCCTGCTTGCTTGAAAGAGTCATTAATGGTGATTGTGAACGTCAGGCCGAGAGAGTCACAGTGGAAACACATCCTGTGATGTTGAGGCCACAGGCTTGACTTATTGTGCAACAACATGGTTTACCGCCTCACTGACTGAAAGGAAAATCCCCTCAGGCAGTCCCCAGCAAGGACAACTCCTTCAACAATCTAATACAGACTGTGGTAATATTCCCCCGCATGCATAATGCAATAGTGAAATTTAATAACAAGAGAAAACGAATGGCGAGTAAAGACTTCAGCTTTATAAAGGTCCACTGTTATCAAATCAGGAAATGGTGCAGCTGGGAATAAGCTGGTCTCTGCACTGTGGTTGCCTCTGAACTGCTACTTTATCAGTAAAAAGTCTTCATGTCCATCCATCGAAAACTTTTACACATTTGTTACTTTGATAAGCTGTCAGGAGAACCAAACTTAACCTGATCAAAATCTGTGTAGGACATTTCATTCTAGCCTGCGCAGCAAAACCTCAGAGCAAGTTATTCACCATTTTTCAACTTTATTGGTTGCAGTACTTTTGTTTATTAAATCTAATTTGTTCCCAGAGTTTAGCTCACAACAATTCAGTTTGATTCTGTTCAAAGAGCCTTGTCAGCAAGAAAGAAAATAAGCACATTTCCCTTTTTTTCTTTTGGTCATAAACTCATATTTAGTCACAGATTATGTAGCTTATTAAGGCTGCAGGAGAAAAATGAGTGAATAATAAGGCTGGTTTATGTATTAAAGCCGCCTCTTTGCACTATCTGATGTAAAATCAGCTCTAAATGGGTGTGAAGCTGAGAGAGCAGTCGCTTTAATAAGATGTTACCTTTTAGTTATTAAATTCTGACAGATGGTATGAGATACTTGACTGTGAGAAAATACCCGCCTGGCACAACTGGGAGGACCCGAAAAAAGGGAACAAAATGCAAATGATATGCTGGACTCTATTGACCTCAAAGTCGTCTTCTACAAATTACTCCTTAAATCATCTTATTTGCTGCCTGAGGTGATAACTGGATGCAATTTACACACTAGAGAAAACAGGAAAGATGAGCCAGAATACCATTATTCTGTATCCTCTGGACATTATGTTAGCATCTAGTACAGCATTCAGTGGGAAACAACACGCCTGGGTCAGGAAACATGTCCTGACCTGCAAACACCATCAGATTCTTATCATGTAAATCTTATGGTAATAAACACAGATATAATGCATGTTTTATAATAGATAATGTCATTACTCACAAGAGATCTAATTTAAAGAAAAAAAAAGGCTTATATCTATTCAACAAAGAGATAGTAAAACTGTGTGTACAATCTTTTGATAGTAACAAAGGAGTGTACATAACACATGAAGATCCATAGATCCATCACACATGTTCAAACCACACAAGACACAAAATCACCATCTTTATCTACATAGGTCTACAAACACAGATGGAGTTTTTTTTACAGACTTGAATTTGATTATTTTCTCTGAACAAAGTCTGTCCGACAGATCTGTGTGTTGCATCTTAGAGAATACCATCAACAGTACTGAAGAAGACAGGGCTGCTAACTTGAACATGCAAGACTTGAGGCCTGATCTAAGATTTGGGTGTATAAAAACATGTGCAAACTTGATACCCCATGCAAAGCTGATCTACCAACTGGGTGCACTAAGGATTGCGTCTGTCAAATGAGCAAAAACAACACATGCAATCCATTCAGCGTGTTTGCCTTCATGAATATGTTGAATGTATATAGATCATCAGATTGCACAAAATACTGGGAAGAGCAGATCTATGCCAATTTAAATATTTAGTACCCGGAATGTAATTTATCTAACTCTGAAACTAGTTGCAGTCTGAGGTTTTGCGTCTACATTCAGCACATTGGAAAGGTAGGTGCAAACTGGCACAGCGTTATACAAATGGCTGTGGTCATTGTGGGGAGAAGGGGGCAGACGTACCATGTACAATGATAGACAACGGAGAGAGAGAGTCTTCTGTGTGTCAACATATTTGGACTGTCATTAATAAAAACAGTAGCGACAGAGTAATAGTAATGCCATTTTTGAGCTGCTAGGTGATGGATTTTTTCCGTTCCACCACTGGTTTTATTTGCAGAGGTTTTATTGAGGAAAAGTTTTTCATTTGTGTTTCTGCGGATATCTTACCGTCCTCTTTTTTATTTCATCGGCAGATCATCTGGTTTTGCTCTCATAGTATTCACCTTTTTACAGATGGCCTCCCAAATTCCCGTTTCCTCTGGCAATGCTGAGATACAGTGCCTTGAAAAAGTTTTCATACCCCTTGAACTTTTTCACATTTTGTCACTCTGCAACCACAAACTTTAAAGTATTTTATTGAGATTTTTTTTCATAGACCAACACAAAGTAACACATAATTGTGAAATGGAATGAAAATGATACATGGTTTTCAAAAATTTAAACAAATAAAAATCTGAAAAGTGTGGTGTGCATTTGTATTCAGCTCCTTGTACTCTGATACCCCTAAATACAATGCAATTCAATCAATTGCCTTCAGAAGTCACCTAATTAGTTAATAGAGTCCATCTGTGTGTAATTTAGTATCAGCATAAATACAGCTGTTGTGTGAAGGCCTCAGTGCTTTGTTAGAGAACACTAGTCAACAAAGAGCATCATGAAGACCAAGGAACTCACCAGACTGGTCAGGGAAAAAGTTGTGGAGGAATTTAAAGCAGGGTTAGATTATTAACAAATATCCAAAGCTTTGAACATCTCAGGGAGCACTGTTCAATCCATCATCCAAAAATGGAAGAAGTATGCCACAACTGCTAACCTACCAAGACATGGCTGTCCACCTAAACTGACAGACCGAGCAAGGAGAGCAATGGTGAGAGAGGCAGTCAAGAGGCCCATGGTCACTCTGAAGGAGCTGAAGAAATCCACAGCTCAGGTGGGAGAATCTGTCCACAGGACAACTATAAGTCATGTACTCCACAAATCTGGCCTTTATGAAAGAGTGGCAAGAAGAAAGCCATTGTTGACAGAAAGACATAAAAAGTCTTGTTTGCAGTTTGCCACCAGCCATGTAGGGAACACAGCAAACATGTGGAAGAAGGTGCTCTGGTCAGATGAGACCAAAGTTGAACTTTCTGGCCTGAATGCAAAACGCTATCTGTGGCAGAAACGTAACACTGCTCATCACCCTGAACACACCATCCCCACTGTGAAACATGGTGGTGGCAACCTCATGCTGTGAGGATGCTTTTCTTCAGCAGGGACATGGGAGCTGGTCAGAGTTGATGGGAGGATGGATGGAGCTAAATACAGGGCCATCCTGCAAGAAAACCTGTGGGAGGCTGCAAAAGACTTGAGACTGGGAAAGAGATTCAACTTCCAGCAAGACAAGGACCCTAAACATACAGCCAGAGCTACAATGGAATGGTTTTAGACCAAAGAATATTCATGTGTTAAAATGGCCAAGTCAAAGTCCAGACCTAAATCCCATTGAGCACCTGTGACAAGACCTGAAAATTGCTGTTCACAGACACTCTCCATCCAATCTGGCTGAGCTTGAGCTATTTTGCAAAGAAGAATGGGCAAAAATGTCAGTCTCTAGGTGTGCAAAGCTTGTAGAGACATACCCCAAAAGACTTGCAGCTGTAATTGCAGCGAAAGGTGTCTCTACTAAGTATTGACACAGAGGGGCTGAATACAAATGCACACCACACTTTTCAGATTTTAATTTGTTTAAATTTTTGAAAACCATGTACCATTTTCGTTCCACTTCAAAATTATGTGCTACTTTGTGTTGGTCTATGACAAAAAATCTTAAGTTTGTGGTTGTGGAGTGACAAAAGGTGAAGAAGTTCAAGGAGTATAAATACTTTTTCAAGGCATGGTATTTCTACTGGAGTTCACCAGTTTGTGTTTATTTGACTCCTCCACCAAGGCCTCCAACTCCATGGCTTTAATTTTTTCATTTACAGATATTTAACTTAAAAGCTGGCTGACAATAAAAAAAAAATTTAATTTATGAACTGGTTGAGAAACAGTGGTTGAGGAATTTTTTATGCTTAAAATCCACTGTTGGGGGATAGGTGTCAGACCAGATGATTGACAGCTGGCCAAAAAAGGCCTACTTTGGTGTTTTCGACAGCAAACATTCAAGATGAGTGATAGATTTCACCTGAAAAGACAACAGGATGTGCTTTCTTTCTTAAAACACTTCAAGATCACCACAAGATTTCTACAGGGGTCTCCAAAATCAACAGGTGCTGAAAATTCCTCATCGTGGCTTTAATATTATAATTTGTTGAAGGTCAGCTCTGTTTCTGCTTTAATGGAAAGGGCCTCAAGGATCATAACACACACGATCTATCAGAATTTACCGGTTATTTTAAATCTACAAAAGTGGTATGCTTTTGCTCAAGTTGTTTAGATCTGTCTTACGCTTAAGCTTAGGTGGTACCATTTATTTATTTGAATTAATACCACAGTATTATTATTATTATTATTATTATTATTATTATTATTATTATTATTATTATCATTATTATTATTATTACCATATCGAATTTCCCCCTGGGGATAAATACAGTTCTTCTTGTCTTATTTTGGCTAAACAAGAAGAACTCTTACACTTAAGTCAGTCTGGTCTGTCACATACTTTTTACCTCAATGTAAAGACACAGTCTGGGACATCTATAAAGAAGCTCCATGTTTTGTGGCTTGATAAACACTTTTTTTATTGTAACTCTGTCATAATTATACAGGCGTCTGTGAAAACCTTCATTTCAGCACTATCCAACAGCTTTCTGAAAAACTTAGGGGTGTAAGTTATGGTAAAAAATGGAGAATGGCAAGCACTCTCTTCCTCTAAGAATTTTCCTTAAATCCAAACTGCAGCAAATAATCACAATATTGTGACACTGAAGTCAAGTACATGAAATCAGCTTACATTAGTTATTGTTCATTGCCTGCTGTTCTAATGTTACTTACAGTTTGTGGTTCCCAGCTGTCATGGAAGGTCTTTGTAGATTAAACAGCCTTTGCTTTCGGTAACAATTGAGATGCAAATGCAGCTTATACGGGCTTTTGTCTCTGGAGGAGTTAATAGTGAAGTGGCGAGCACAAACAGCTGTTGTTGTCCCAAAAAGATAAAAATGTCCCACCGTTTTTTGTGCCTTTGTCTTTGGGAAGAGAGAGTAGCTGTGACTTTCCTTCACAACGAAACACTCATAGGCAACTTTTCAAGATATACTGAATCAACAAAGTGCAAAGTGGAGGGAAAGCTGAGTGGGGAAACAGACTTTCCAGGTGTGCAAATATTTGAATAAGCTTTTGTGTGACCTGTCCTTGAAAGAGCTGCATTGGAGCTGCTGGGTAGGATGTCTGAGATTTGATACACTGCAACATTATTTCAGTCAGTATGACTTCGTGCATACCAAAAAGCATTTCTTTTAACTGTTAAGTTTCTTAATTATAAATTTCTCTTTTGTATTTATTAATTCTGTAAATTTGGAATTTCCCCTTGTGGGATGAATAAAGGAATCTCTTATCTTATTTCTTTTAGCAATAGTTAATCTTGGCAGTATGGCTTTGCTCTGAGAGCTCCCTGCCCTTCTACAAGTGTCCTCAAAATTCCAAAGCCTGCAGCAGGGAGAGCAGCAGCAAAGACCCCAGGGGACAGAACAGAATGGAGCAGGCACCAGACAATACATATGACACTATGGGCTCTATGTTCGTGCCTCGCCGGAGACGTGCCGCAGGTGCGGCGTAAGTCAGGTCCGCCACGCCGACAAGGCGTTCCCAAGCACAATTTGGTATTTAGGTGAGCGGTGCAGCCTGGCGTAAGTATCCCCCCTCCCTAACTCAGCTCCTCCCAGCGGCGTAAGTCGTAGCGTGGGAGAAGAGAGGGCGTGGAGTGGGTTTAACACAGCCGAGACCTGTTTTCACCAATCACATCAGCTCCTCTCCTTGCCTTTAAATCCGCCACCGGCGCAGCATATTATTATTTTCGTCAGGTAGTCAAAGAGATCAAGAGATGTCTGAAGACAGTAATGCCACACGATACCGACAGAAGGCAGCTCCTCATCAAGTGTCAGTGTAAGCGCTGCATTGGGCGTCCTCCACACTCTCTCATATAAGCACAGATGGATTTGGTGTGTGTAATGTTGGAACCACTGGTAAGACAAACACCCTTTCCACAAATTAAGACACTCACATAAAGTTGCAGATATTTAAACCTCACGTGACAAAGTTCGGTTGTGCGCACAGATCACAACATAAACTCCATAAATGGCATTAAAGTCGGAACCATCTGTGCGTAAATGACGCATCGCGCTCCATGGCCTGGCTCTTTCTTTCATAGATGTTGGCATATAAAATAAATTTGACTCACAAAACTGAATATTACAATATCCGTATGTCGGCTTAAAGTAAATAACGCATCTGATCACTGAAACAAATCATCTTTTCAGCCACTGCAGAAGCAGCTGCAGCAGGACGGAGAGAGGACACGGAGACATGTCCAGGTCGAGCTGCGCAAGAAATAAGAGGAAGAGGAAGAAAGAAAAGGAGGGAGACAAATTAAATATCTTGTTAACTTCATCATGTGTGTCTATTTACTAGATATTTTATTTAATTTAATGCGGTTTCAGCTGTGTTGATTCGGTCAGGTTCGGTCAGCACCTGACTTCATCAACAGTACATATAGGGTCCTAGCCATAGAACTATTCATCAAACATCTTTTTAGCTTTGCCTGGTTTCTTTACTTTATAATTTCCTTGAAGTAATAATCATCATATTAACCATTTTGCACTGCAGACACGATAGGTCTTCTGCCTTAGTATCTCCAAATTAATGAAGAAATGATCATAAACGTTCTTCCTTGAGCTGCGTCACCCCACTGCAGTCAGTGATCAACTCGTTCGAGGTCTCTGTTTAAACAAGCAGCTGCTGGAAGAGAGTAGGTGAGTTGTGTTTAGTCTCTTTGCTAAAGAAATCATGGAAAGCTAAAAAGATGTTTGTTGGCTAGTACTATGGCTGTGACCCTACATGTACAGTTGATGAAGTTAGGTGCTGTTCTGAGCATTATTTGTGGCTCTGGAGTGGCTTTTTGGTTGAGCGCGTGGCTCCTGGGACCACTGCGTATTGCTACCGTGCGGTCGTTACTAAAGTTGAGAAGCAAGCGGTCGGCAACAGTCATCTCTCGAGGGGTTGTCTAACTCGGTGATACGATGTGTTTGACCCTTACAAAATTTTTTGCCAGAATATCCCTTTAAAAGGAGATAAAGCTGTGGTATCGTACATATGAGAGGTACAGAGCTGAGATGTTGTCAGTGTTTTCATCGTTTTATCTACATTCTGTTAGCCTCTTGCTAATGCATTTGTTGACTGTTTTAGCATGTGTTGTAGTTGATCAACCAGGAGATCGTCCAGTAATAACAGGCTAAAAGGGGGCATATTGCCACCTAGCGCAGCAAAGGAAGACACACTCTTGTCAATAAATTAGCTTGACAGGAGATCCCTGAAATGTCCCCATGGAGCTATAACTGTAGCTCAACTTTGGTGTGCATGTAAACATAGTGAGTATAAAATGGAAGAGCTAGGGTGGAGCGGGGTTTTAAAGCACTTTGCAAAGAAAGCAGCAAGAGAAGGCAGGTTTAAAGAGAAGCAGTTTGAAGACGGCATCCTCTCTTGGGGGTGTAGAAGGTCATTGTTTAAACTGTCTGCTAGTCTATGGTCAATAATTATGTATTACAACACAGATCAGCATAAGAAGAAGAAGAAGAAGAATATTCCTTTATTGATCCCCCGTGGGGGAAATTTTTTTGTCACAGCAGCATCACAGACAAAGAGTGCAAAAATGCAGTTATAAAAATACAGATCCTAATATTAAGAACTTAAATAAATGTAATAATTAAGAAAAAATGTAGAAAAAGGAAAAAGGGAGAAGAAAAAATAAAACTATCTACAATATACACAATTTACACATACACAAAAAGTGGTGGTGTGTGTCCAGCTATTATTACAGTTCGTTGTAAAGTCTTATTGCAGAGGGGAGGAATGACCTGCTGTAGCACTCCGTCTTGCAAGGTGGAAGTCTCAGTCTGCTGCTGAAGGAGCTGCTTAAAGCCCCCACAGTCTGGTGCAGTGGGTGAGAGGGATTGTCCATGATGGATACAAGCTTTGCTAACATCCTCCTCTCACCCACCTCCTCCAGGGAGTCCAAAGAACAGTCTAGGACAGAACTGGCCCTCCTGACCAGTCTATTCAGTCTCTTCCTGTCCCTCTCGGTGCTCCCTGCCCCCCAGCAGACCACTGCATAGAAAAGTGTAGATGCTACACATAATAGGTCTCCTTTAAGAAAGTCAAGTTTGACAGTTGGCCTTGCATTGGATTTCTAATTATCTTAGGGAAATTAAAAGTTTGTCTTCTCCTCCTCCTCATGTTTCTGCTCCTGAGTAAGCCTTAGGCCACCAAAGGTAAGAAAACTGAACAGATATGAACGCACTTTTACTCATTGGCTTTTAGTACATTGTAGTGTTAATTTGTTTTTTATCATTTTAGCACTTGCTGTGAGCCTCCTTATTTATACACTTATTTATTCTTTTGCATTACTGTATTTCTGCTTGCGTTATCTTGTTTTTTGATTGTTTTATTTGTTTTTATGTCACTGTACAGCACTTTGGCTACCCTTGTGGTTATTTTAAATGTGCTATACAAATAAAGTTGATTGATTGATTGATTGATTGAACTTCAACATGAAGGGCCTGACCATGCTCATTGATGTGGGATTGAGAACAGGCTGATATGGAAGGTCAGGAAACTTAATTTTTAATTATTCATAATTGTAGGGCATAAATAAAAGCTTGAACCCTCATGTCAGTCTTGCTAATAATAGTTGATATGTGTCAGAATGAGCTAAAGTGATGGACAAACCCTTCAAACACACCCTGAGTTAGCATAGCAGTGACAGAAATGAAACATATCTGTGATGAAAGTTAAGACTGAAGAGGAATATATCAACTGATCTTGAAGCAAATAAACATCCATATGAGATGATTAGGTAAATATTTACAGATTCAGACCTTTCCCAGCTTTTTTCAAAGTAAAGTTGAACTAAAGTTGACTAATAATATTCAAACACCCTAAAAGAAAGTCAACCACTTATCACTACATTGCTTAACGTCTAAAGGTGGAAGCACACAAAATGTTAAAAAGTCAAAATTAAATGTGAAATCTTGGTATCTCCACAACTTTGCACTTTGCAGGGAGCTCTAATTGCAGATCAGCGCTATAACACGTATCAGTGCTTCACAAGTCTCCCTCTTCTGCTGGTGGAGAAGAAAAAGAAGTCAAATCCATCTGGAACTTGACCCCCGAGGCGATTAAACAAACATGACCTCAATCTCTCTACTTGGCATCTGTTAGAAAGCCACCTGTTAGCACTGTGCTAATTTGACACTCTCAGGGGAGATAATGGATGTGTGTTTGAAAGCTGCCTGACAAGAGACTCTTCAGTGTTCTCGTTGCTATGCAGAACCTCTTCATGGCCTGTAGCGATATCCGTAAAAATATTCAGAATGAGCTGCATGTGAAGAAAGGTCTTACAAGACAGGGTTTATTCTGTGCAGCTGTCTTCTGGGGAACGATACTGTATTCGTGCAATACACCAGCACATGAGGGAAATAACAACCAAGCACCTAACCGGGATCAACAGTCTCCTGATCAGATACCGCAAAGTTCCTTTTGATCTCTGCACCCTCTCCCCTCTCTTCCCCCTTACAGTCTCGTCCTTCTCAGTCGCCATAGAGGGTCAGGGGTGCTGAGCCGATGTGATCGCACTTTGTATGTCAAAGAGGCTGCGAATTGTCATTATTTATGAATTCACAGCAGTGAGAAACAAGCCTCTGGGCTCCACATGCATCGGGAAGAAGACAGCGGAGTCCCCCCAGAGGAGCCGAGTTCAAAGCCATCAGCTGCAGCAGCCGAGACCACAACTGAGAGATTTCTGAACAGCTTTCCAGGGAAACTACAGGGCACATGTGAGTGTGTGAGTGCAGATGTACTGCATCTCAGGGATGTTTCATATGGATAGAGGTGTGACAGAGGCAAGATCCCATCATGGCCTATGGAGCTTGAATTTGTTTTGAATTCCTCTGAGACTTTTGAAGCTGCTGTTTGAACATGCTGTCTTTTACACTGCGGCATGTTCTCCACACAACCTTTTGCTCAAACACAAGTTTGATTTTTTTCCCCCACTTTATTTTCTTATCAGGCAGGACTGAACGGTATCAATCATGAGTACATCATGCATGCCTTCAAAATACAGTGAAGTGACCCAGCAGGAAAAATAACCCTAGTTCTATCTGCCTGTCCAGAGTTAAAGTAATTAAAGCTTCTTTTTGATATCCATGAAAAAGGCTGAAATTCATATTTGCTTCTTTATGATGTACAAAAGCAAAAGAGACTATCGGTGACAAGAACAATTATATTTTTACTGCAGTTTTTTATGCCTGAAACCAGAGCGATGTGGTAGGTGTCAGAAACACCCGTGTTTTTACATCGTCCACATCGACTATTCACAATGTAGATTTTATAGTTTATTTGTCATAAGACACGACTCAAGCATTTACAGCAGTGGTCCCCACCCTTTTTTGTACCAGGGTCCAGTTTCATGCAGGAAACTTTTTTCAAGGACCGGGTAGGGGCATGGAGATTCCAATAACAAAAACCTTAACCAGTACATCGTATGTACATAGTATGTAATCTGGATACAACAATTACATTTTATATTAGGCACTTTTCATTACACTTGGAAGTGCTAGGAAAACGCAAGCTGAGAGAAGAAAGGGCAGAGTCGGAGGGGAAATGTGACCAAGCAAGGAATCTAACCCCAATAAACATCAGGTCATCCTTCGGCTGGTGGAGAACGCTCCACCAGGATTTGGGCCTGAAAACAGATGCCGAGAAAACAGAGTTTTTGTTCAACAGGTAATTTTTGCCTTTGATCATGGCACGTTACAAAAATAACTCTTATGAGTCTCTGCAATGTCAACACTGTAGCTGTCCAGGCAGCAGCAGATGGTGCTCACTAGCAGCGCTGGCGTTTACTGCCGCTAGTCTCTAGCAATCAGACATGGTGAATCCTATTTGAAGCTAGCGTAGGATCTTCAGCCGGCCGGCCTCTTACTCTGCCAGAAGGGATGTGTCGTGGGGAGGGCGATACAGGTTCGGGGGGGGAGTTATCGTGGAGCACAGAGAGGAGAGGTCTGAGTGTGGGGGTGGGACGCTTTTTTCAAATCTGCCTCAACAGCTCAGTTTTTTTCAACTGCTTCTCCAATCATCAACCATGCCTTTAAATAAGAAAGATACAATAAGATTGATACAGCCTGTCTGATGCTTAACCTCCTGCAGTATGGTATTGTAGCTTAGTACACAGTCTGCAAATAGGAGCTAAAGGCTAGCCAAAAAAACCTACCTGCCAGCAGGTACAAACTCGTCATACAACATGGTTTGAGGGTTGATTGTTTTAGCCTGGCTGGGCCATCCTGTTGCGTGAATCACTTGCCGTTCCTTCCCACAACAGTCTGGACTTCGGCCCATTGGGAGCGTGTATTCCCGGTCAGAAAATAACCGGGCCAATCAGAGACCGTGTTTCCACTGTTACCCAGACAACAGGGAAAGGCAGCCCCTGATTGGTCCATGTGTAGATGGTGACGTCTAACATATGCTGTGGGACTTTTCAAAGCGCCGTTCATTCAGAATGCCATTACTTCTGCAGTTGACTTTGCAAAGTCGGCAGAAATCTTTTATATCTGCAGAAGACGTCGGATATAAACGATTTCTGCTGACTTTGCAAAGTCAACTGCAGAATTAATGCCCCATACATATATTAAAGTTGAATATGAAGTTGTGTATTGCGGACATTTTGGTACCTAGTACATCTCTGTATCCATTACGGTTTTTGAGATACAGCATATAGATACTTGTACAGAATTGGCAGAGTAAGAAATTTGTAACACCGATTGTTGTTACATGCATATGGTTATATGAAAATATCATTTCCATTATCTGTTATTTTCATTAGGGTCATAACATGAAATTCGAAAACCAAGATGGTGTCCAAGATGGCTGCCATTGCCTTGAAGTAATCATGAATTCAGCAGAGATGAATCATGAATTCAGAAGGATGAAACTTGTCATAAAAAGTTAAAAATGAGGCATTTTGTGACAATTTTCTGATTTTTGTTATGGTGTTAGGTATGTGTACTACTCTCTGGCTACTTGCGGGGGAGGCCACGTGGAGTCTGTCTTTATCCCCACCCCCACCCCTTTTTTTTTTTCTTTTTTTTTGGGGCTCTTTTTAAATAAATCTCTTCTATCACTTGTTTTGGGTTTCAACCATATACTAAACTATCTAACATTAAATACCATGCAAACCGACCACTAGGGGATGCGCTCAACTCGTTTGCGGTGTTTTTTAAAAACCTTATACCCATACCTAACACTATACTAAAATTCAGAAGTTTACAAAATTCCCTAATTTTTCCAGATCCCATCTAAGCTAAGTACAGAATTTAGACGTTGATAAAAGCAGGTATTTTAGTACCATGTGCATCTATTACAGTTTGTAAGATACAGCATACTTACTGTGAGTTACACCTCACAGTTTCAACTGCACAGAGCTGTACACATGAGACCCAATTTGTATCACTTGCACCTGCCACAACAGCCAGATTTACAGCCACATTTGGTGAGCTGTTCGCATGTCTTGGCTATCGGAGAGTTGTCTGTCCAGAAGACCTGCCATTCCTCACCAACCTTTTGCCATCCCCAGTCTGCAGAGTCCTTTGCTTCTGGCTGACATTGGGTTGCCTGGGCCCACACACAACCAGCCTGATAGGCAGCACGCCTGGTGTGTTGGAGTAGAGCTACTCTGGTTGGTGGGATAGACCCATAGGGCCTCTGCTTTCTGGCAAACAAGTCAAGCCTGGCCTCATCCACAGTAGCAGCTGTGCTGGATCTGTCATACATGAGAATGACAAACTTCTCAAGCACCTCTGTGTCACAGTCCTCCACTGTGGGAGGGTAAATACCCAGTTTGGCGAATACAGGCAAGGATTCTGGACATATGTCCCATGTATGCCAAGCCATTTTTTTGCCTTTGTTGCGGAAGGCAGACACAGTGTCACATCCTGTAAAGGCATGGAAGAGGAGCATGCCTTTGACCTTCTCCTGGCCAACATGCTGAAATATGTCATGCACACTGATCCAGCGCAGAGTCTGACCTTGCCCAAATGCAAGCCACATATGCTGTAGGCCAGCCTCTTGGAGACCGCTGAATACACTTATTGCTAAGATCAGAACATCTGTGTCATTTGCCTTGATCATGATGGATTGGCTACCAGTTTCATATTTGGCGTGCACAAAGATGCGGCTGTCCGCTTCCTCGTGAGAGCATTTATCCAGTCCGTCAAGACCAGTTGCATGAGTGCTGAGGACAGCAGGTCCCTTTGTGACGACATTTGTGCAACCTTGTCGGCAAGGGTGGAACAACTCTGTTTTGTTGTCACTGTGCCACAGGAAGTTATGTCAGTTAGATAGCATGGTGTTCTTATTTATTACCTTGTGTCTTCCCCCCTCACCACGTTTGGACCTGGTCTCAGCTTTAAGGCTTGATGGGTTTTTCACATCAAAGACCAGATGTGTCATTGTGTACTTGCTGGAGTACATGTAGATCACAGGTAGGAAGTTGAGAACTGCATAGTCCTCAAAAGTCTTGGATCTTTTTGGTGGCAGGGCGTGGTCCAAAGCTGACCCATCTACAATGAGAACGTCTGCCTCAGGTTCCTTGTCAACTGGTGGGACATAATTCTCAAGGATAGAGGTCAGCTGAGACTTCTGGCAAGTGTTCAATTTTCCACCCTTGCTCAATGCAACAGGGAAGGACTGGTTCTCATGCTGAAAGAACTCCTGGGGCCTCATGTATCAACGTTTGCGGCGCAAGAAAACCTTGCGTACGCCAAAATCGGCGCACACGTCCAGATTTATCATCACGAAACGAGCGTCGGTTCCAGCGCTAATCAACGCAAAGTCAGGAGGTGGTGTAGAAATTGGCGTTGAGCTGATATTTGCGTTGACTGTGATTCGCACTTTGGCGACACTGTGTGGCGGTGTTTGGTGACTCACTATGTGACAAGCGTGCACCACATCCCCGTGGCCGAGCAGCACGTCGCCCCACATGACTACCAGCAGCAGACGGAGGGATGCGAGCTGATCACCGCCGGCCGCCGTCCTCGCGCGGGAGAATCTCATCGCCACAGTGTGAATGGGTAAGAAGTGAATACACAGTTCAATGAGCCAAATTAATTTATTTTCTCCACCAGACGCTCGAGGACATTTACGAGCCGGTCCAGCCGCTCGTTGATATCCGCGATCCCCCTGATGATTTCTTCCTGCGAATGCAGGACCCCCTCCGCGAGGACCCTTCCACTGCGTCCAGCGGAAGCGCTGCGGCTGGTGGACGCTCCACCGCTTGTCGGCGCGCTGGTGCTGATGCTGGTGCTGGGGCCGGGGGCCGGGGTGGCCCGAATGCCGCTGGTCCTGGCCGACGACTCTGAGCCGGCGGACGGGCTGCCGCGGGCCGGGGTTCCGCAAGCCGGCGACACGGCCGACACGTTGATTTCTGTGTCACAATAAAAATATTTGTTCATTTCAATTCCTGCTTCTGTGTATCTGTTGCGTTTACATCTCTCTCCACGGTATCATAGGTAATGTAATCCAGTATTTAGAGGTCGGTTATGCACATTACAGTTGTTTATTGCATAAAAAGTTATCGAAAAGTGAAGTTAAGGGCGAAGTATAAATCACGTCTAAAAATAGACTGAATCCCGAGGTTGAAATGAAGTATAAACTTAGACTAGACGTCTAATATACGTCTTTTGCTCAGTGGGATGACAAAGCATGTGGACATTTGTGTGACACGCCACTTACCCTATAATAATAATCGCCACCACCCGCTGCTCAAACGGTGTGAGGGTCTCCTCCCCCGGACCCCCACCTGTCTGGCCAGTACTCCTCCGGGGGGAACTGTACGCCGCTTGACCTCCACCTTGAGGTCCGACCACTTTTTTTAATCCCCGCGGGGGTGCGTGTCTCGGAACCCACCGCGTTCACCCTCTCGCAAACTTTCTCCCACTCCAAGCGTTTCCGTTTTGCACTGATGCCACTGGACAGGCTGCCAAACAAAACACGCTGTCGCTCCTCCACCTCCGCCACCAGCACCTCCACCTCGCACGCCGTAAATTTAGTTTTTCTTGTCATTTTGTCTGCGTGCGAGGACAGGGAGACCCGATGTCCTCAAAAGTCTTGGATCTTTTTGGTGGCAGGGCGTGGTCCAAAGCTGACCCATCTACAATGAGAACGTCTGCCTCAGGTTCCTTGTCAACTGGTGGGACATAATTCTCAAGGATAGAGGTCAGCTGAGACTTCTGGCAAGTGTTCAATTTTCCACCCTTGCTCAATGCAACAGGGAAGGACTGGTTCTCATGCTGAAAGAACTCCTGGAGGTCATGCTGAGTTACAGAGCAGTGATATCACCAGTGTGTCCTGGTTGTGTGCCGATATTCACTCTATTACATCTGCAAGCTTGTACTGTATAAACGTCTAAATTTTGTACTGCAATGGCCCCATTGGATGCATAGACCAAAAATATGTGCATGCCAAAAGTAAATGTTTCATAGTCACTAAGATCGGATTACTTCAAGGCAATGGCAGCCATCTTGGACACCATCTTGTTTTCAAAATGTAATGTTATAAGCCTCATGAAAATAATAGATAATGGAAATGATATTTTCATATAACCATATGCACGTAACAACAATCGGTGTTACAAATTTCTCACTCTTCCAATTCTGTACAAGTATCTATATGATGTATCTCAAGAACCGTAATGGATACAGAAATGTACTAGGTACCAAAATGTCTGCAATACACAACTTTATATTCAACTTCAATATATGTATGGGGCTTAAAATCAAGGCATTTAGAGTTATAAAGGAAAAAACACATTTTTGGGGCAGACATCTTGGATTTTGGGGCCGCCATCTTAGAATTTTGCGTGGCTAACATTATTTTTGAAAAGAGTGGGGTTTGATGAGTATATGTACCAAATTTCATGTTTGAACGATTCGGGCTATATTATGCATTTGTCTGCTCTACTAATAGGGTTAGTTCGGGATTATTTTGCTGCATGTCATGGAGCAACTTAAAGGTGCTTTCAGATGGTCAGCAGTCAATGTTGCAGCCGTCATTGTTTTCTCTTTAAACCAGCGGATGGTGGCAAGAAGAGGCAAGGTCACTTATGAATGAGCTGGCATATTCTCAGGTTGAATTTTTTTGAATTTCTCACCCTCTCTTTGTTGCCATGGCAACTACAGGAACAACAGCATAACAGACACGACTCATGCACAGTCTACATGATAATTCAGCAAAGGAATGTTGTTGCTGTGGTGATAAAGATGTAACCAACAGAAACAAAAATTGGGGGGAAATAACCTCCAGCACCTGAGACTGATCGGACTCAGTTCCTGGCTCCTAATCATGTTGTCTACCTCCTTTCTGGATACTTCTTGTTGTGTTACTTTTTTCCAGGTGTCCATCCATCCATTTGGCCAAAAGAGTCTACTGTGGCTATTTTGCTACACTGAAAATCTTAGAGACTTAATTTTCTCTTTGGAGCAAAAAAAAAAAATCTTTTCAGCTCCATAATGACTCTGAGTGAATAACAGAAGTCTTTTAGAGTAGACTTAGTCAAGGACCTTAATTCTTGGAACCAGGAGACTGCTGAGACTCGTGTTGGACACAGTGTGCAGTCCTGCAAACGCAGAGCTGCAGAAAATGAGCTTAAAACTGTTGATGGAAAATTCAGTCTGCAAAAGTTTTGGTGCCTGAATTTGCCAGAAGAATTGGTGTAATTCTACTCAGTATCACGGCTGGGAAAAGTGAGTGTCTACTTTATCAACAGAAATAGTTAATAGACCATATATTGACTGTTTTTATTCATTTAAGCTCTCCAACAACACAGGGTTTGAGTGCTGTACGGGCAGACACTGGTGTTAACAATGTGAATTGATAACTTTTCTGTCTGTTACAACCTGAGCATTTGACTAAGTTTCCAGCTTGCTAGGTCCCTTAAGTCTCGATCAGGGATAAAAGCCTAAATCTGGGGTTTCGATGAGAAACCCTTCTGGTCTACAAAGAATTTCCATCAAACAAATCAAGAAATGAATGGATACATTTGCCAAGAAACTGGACTAAGGCTAATATTCCCAATACAAATGATGACACTCCTGTACTCCAGTCCTTCAACATTGTTTTGTTTGACAGCTTAGGTGAAGTAAAGATAGACAGCATAATGAACATTTGTGCTACTAAAGCTGTCAGCGATCAAACATCATTTTGCTTGACAAATGTTTCACTCCAAAACATAGTTATTTAAACTGAAAACCAAACAGTCACTAATGTTAGGGGTGTTCTAAAACATTCAATAGACTGTATCGATTTTATGGGCAGCGGATACAAATGCCGTTGTTGCCAGATAACCAGGAGCAGCTGACTGGTCGGCCTCAAGGGGCATTCACACCCAGCGCGAGTAAAATCATTTGCGTGAATAAATAACATGCAAAGTCATTGCAAAGACGCGAGTAGATGCTCTTTTCTACCCTAAGGGTGCAAATGATGCGAATTGTGTGAATGGACTAAATGATTATTATTGTAGAGTGAATCATTTGTGTAAATGACTTGTTTCATTCGTACGTATGAAGCGAGTAAATACTTGACGCGTCTAGATACATGTGAATAAAGCGAGTAGATGTTTTTAATCGCGCTTGGTGTGAATGCATGGTCAGTGCTCTAGCTGGAGAGTGAACTTGGGGAAGTAAGGCAGTATTTATCTGGGGCCTTAAAGGTCAACAGCAAAATATAAAAACACATTTTTAAAATGGTTCGAAAGGATAAAATATTATTCAACATTCTCCAAATTTTGACTGTCCGTTGTCCTTGAAGCTCCTTCTAAACAAGGGACTGATTGACATAACCTATGACCTGAAACATGATAACAATACTCATGGTTATGACCTCAAGTGTGATATCCCTTGAAAATACTGATGTGATTTTTTATTTAAACATTCGCTTCTTAAAACATTAGCTAAGTTTATTTTCTAATCAATACAATCCAAAATTAAAAAATACACTTTTTTGTATGTTTTTATCGTGCATAAATAAATTAGGTTAAAAGGTAAAAAAAAAAAAAAAAAAAAAGCACTGATTCCTGAACTGTTAACTGTGACAAATTTGGGGAAATGTAACTGAAATGTAGGACTTGCTTTTTGACTGTTCTTTCATCACATTAGAATGTTTTTGGTGAAGTATGAGTTTTTATGTGAACAGATTATCAATCTAGAAGCTTGATGATGCCAAACTATAGTTTTACTATCAAGTTACTTTTTTTTTATGAAATGGAAAATTCACCACACATTATCATGATATCTATTCCATACATGCAGTGCCCAGAGTCTGCATGCAGAGTGGGCGATGGAGAGGCTGTGGCAGGTCAGTGAAAAGCAGGGGTAATGATCAACTCAAATGACACTGCTTCTTTAATGATCGCCTAGCTTTGCAGATTGTGGCCTTTAGTGCAGCCTCTATGCAGACACTTATGTGATATATGCTATGCCTCTTTAACTGGAGTCTCTGTTGGAAATAATGAGCTACCTGGTTCAAATGCTCTATCAGCACTTCCTCTGACATTTACGGAACTGCCTCGGTGACAAGTCAGAAATGCATCGCGGTTACTGCATATCCTGAGTACAGGATGGCCCATTCCTATGGATGAAAGGAAGGGTGCAGGTGAGAGTACAACACCCCGCCCGCTCGTCCTGGTCTATTTAAGGCCAGGATCGGGGAATGAGACAGAGGCAGAGAGTGTAGAGTGAGTACAGGGTGGGGCAGTGGTGGTTGAGATTACAGATGACAGATGGTGATGAGCAGGGAGCAGATTAGAGCTGCAGGTTGAATACTGACAGAGGGAAAAATAAAACCAGGTTAATCCCTCCAATAGCTGGATCTCTACCTTTAAATCCAGGGGATGCCAAATAAATAAGTTCAAATCTACTTAACTGCATTTTGAGCATGTTATTGATTTTATCTTATGGATATTTCTTTCTTTCTCTATTTCCAATCTGTAGAAAAAAATACTACCTGATGTCAGTATCTGATGTTCAAGTCAGAGGATGATGACATTCTCTGCAATCTTGCTTTTCATAAGTAAAAAGGCTCAAGACAGCTCAGCTTCAATAATATTCATCAGTGAGATCCACATTTATGCCAGTAAAAGTCAGACTACGTGATGTGTTTTTTAATAGGCCAATGTCTCATTAAAGCAGGAAACTTTTGGTATGTAGTTAACAAGCAGCAATCCAGTGCTGATAGTTGGAGCCTTATGGTGAAGGGTGTAGTTTGTCCAAGAGGAAACTGCCTCCAAGATGTACTAATTCAATGGAAAAACCTGCCAGTTTTCTGCTTGGAACCCAATCAGAATGAGTTTTTCAGCAAAGCTAGTGTCCTGTTGGACATTCATGATGAAATACCGCTGCCGAAATAGTGCCCATTAGACCTAGGGTCAGGCGCAAGTATTGGACTTGGAGGCCCAAACAAAGGTGTACCACTGCGTAAAGGTTAGGGCTCTTTGCAGGCCAATAATAGTTCTGGACATTTAACTCACCAAAACACTTCCTCAAACCGAAACACAAATTTGGAGACACTTTGGTTGAAAGTTTTTTGTGTTTTATAGCCCTGAAAAAAACTTAATCTGGATCTGAGAAAAGCCTCCCAAGGACAGGTTACGCAAACTGACGTTTTACTATGAACACTTGATACACTACTTCTGGGATTTATGCATGTCCACATGTTAAGGCACTGACTTTACTCTATGTATATAATAAGTAAATCTAGTCCAAGCCCAAAAAACAGGCCAAGACTACTTTACTTCCCTAAAATTTACATTAGGTGAGATAGATTGTGGTGAGTTTCATGTGGCAAAAACAGATAAACCCACTGAACTCCAAGATAATGGGGCAGTTGTCATACTCTCAAAGACTCTCAAATGCTTGATCCTTGTTTCACCCTCTGACCATTCACGCTTCTCCAAAGTGTTTCAGGCCGTGAGAGACAAGAAACAAGCATGGACATGAGTTCTGCCAAAAAAAAATACAATCAGAATGACAGTTTCTGGCTGCTTAATCAGAAAATAAGACAGATAAACCATGCTAAATTTATATGACCAATATTCCAGTTGGATCAGCAGTTTTATCCTGCTCAAAGTGAATTTTCATTGGGTTGTTGATAAAAAAAATTTTATTGTCACAATGTTGTGGGAACAGTCATCCCTACATAGTTCTCAGAAAATCTCAGTCTTGTCAAGGACTTTTCAACTTAGTGTTCTTAAGGGGTGTTCAGACCAAACGTGACCTCGGCGACGTCAGCAACGGCTTCCAATGCAAAGTCTATGTACAGCCGCGACCTGACGCGACTTGGCAACCGCCGGCTGCCTGTGACGCGACCTGACACGACTTGGCGACCAGGTCGCACAGGGTCACCAAGTCGCATCGCCAAGGTCGTGTCGCCGAGGTCGCGTCGCCAAGGTCGCAAAACGCCAAGTCGCGTCGCTCCCAAAGTTGAAATATTTGAACTTTGGGAGCGACTATCCGCGACTCCGTGCCGCGACAGCCAATCAGGGCTCTGCTGACGTCAACAAACCGGCGAAGCAAGGAGGAGGAGAAGAAGAATCACAATGGAGGAGCAGTTTATCACTGCCGTGAGTTATCACCCGGTCCTGTACGACGTGGGGTGCGCGTTTTACCGGGACTGCACCTCCAAGGAGGAGGCATGGGCGAAGGTGGCCCATGATTTCGGGCTTTCTGGTCATTTGTTTATTTATTTCAGTGAGCAGACTATGTCCTGAAAACATAGCAAACTTCCCCTGCTTGCTAGGCTACATGTTTCAACGTGTGTGTGTGTGTGTGTGTGTGTGTGTGTGTGTGTGTGTGTGTGTGTGTGTGTGTGTGTGCCGCAAGCGCTGGAAGGGGCTGCGGGATGTATATATGAGGGAGAAAAGGAGGGAGAAGGAAGGTGGGAGAAACGGGTCAGCGGCGACCAGTTGCGTCCTGCGACCGCAGCTTTGGACCCGTTGTGAACAAACCAGGGCGCCACGCGACGCGACGTGACCGACCAATGCAACGCGACCTGGTCGCGTTTGGTCTTAACACCCCTTTATAGTCCACGGCCCCAGAGACAGTCACGTGAACTTCTCATCTTTATGTCAACTAAATCAGACAAGTGAAGGAAGAATCCTCAACTATCCTCCTCACAAATCCCTTTTGTCTCAACTATGGTTAGCAGTGGTATCTATTCATTTTTTTCGACACTGATTCCATTATTAAGACTTCTTTATGACTCGAGTCCTCATTGATACTGTTTTCAAGACTTTTCTGTTATATAGTGGAAAGAGGAGATGACAATAGCTTTTCTCGCTGAACAATGATAAGATGCTTTAGCCTTCAAATCACAGTTAATGTAACCCCTTCAACATGGCATTCAACTAGGAATTCCATTGTTGATTAGAGTTTGTGCAAAAAAGTTTCAAAGGCCACAAATCCATCTGTAATATGAACTTTATATTGCTGTGCAAAAAAACAAACAAATATATATATATATATATATATATATATATTTCTTACAGTCATATTTCTGCAGGTTTTAACACTGAATAAGGGATTTTAACTGACAACCCTCACCATAAAGCAAGTCGCAGACAGTCAGAGTTACTGCATTTTGGCTGGATTTGATTCACAACGCTATATGGTGATTGTGTTTACTTGATTTCTATCTTTGGCTTTGGTAGAATGTAGCCACACTTCGTTGCATATTCAGCCATATGCAGACCACCAGAATACTTTCCCCGTAGTTTAATACCCAATAGCTGCCAAATCAAATTTTAAATTGCCATTTAAATGAGGGGCACCACTGTGCTGCATGAGGTGACTTAAGTCAAAGTATAACAACAACTTCACAAAACTTACAAAACTAGCAGAATGGATAAGCTAAAACATTACTGACTTCCAGGTATTGACAAAAGCAGAACCGGGTTTCCAATGGAACTGGGTCTAAATTCCCATACCTATTGGTTACAGCATGAATGAGTTCCATAGATGGTAACAGGTTAAAAACTTAGTAAGGACTCAGATTTAAAAAATAAAAAAAAAAAAAATCTAAGAACAGCACATTTATGGTTGTTGGCCGAAGCATTTCTCCAGAAACCAGCATGTAAAGTCTCACTCCATCTGTGTGTAGCCTGAGGTTGTTAACTTGGCTTCCCCGTTTGTTCCTAAACAACCCTTCAGTAAATCCCTTAGCTCATTTCCCTCACTGTTCATACCAATAAAAATATGACTTATTTCCTGCTGTGAGCTCCAGCCTGTGCTCACAGTAGAAAAAGACACATTTCACGCTGATGTGTGATTACTGTATACAGTGTTGTGCTTGATGCCATATGTTGCTGCTGATGTACTGTACTCTTGGCTACACTCTGTCTTTGGTTGCAGTAACTCACAGTTAATAAAGCCACGGGTAGGAGAAAGGATTGTTCTGTCCACCTGCGTCTCCCTCCTCCAGATGTCACGATGGTAAGGCACAGCTGTATGACGCAAATGCCCCTCCTCCTCCATCATCATGCTGATTTGTTCTTTTTCAATCTCTGTCTCTTTCTCTCAGTGGATAACCCATCATCCATCCCTCACTCACGTGCCGCTGGTGCAAGGTCTTTATCCCTCTGCAGTTTACTAGCTGTGGTCTTTGCACTGCAGAGATTTTCTGCATGGACTCATTGCCCTCTCAGAGATACTCTCTTTTCACTTTAGTCTTTACAAATTATGACTCATCTACCAGGAGTACTGCATTTTCTTTAACAAGACATGACATTGATGATAAGTGGACACATGAGAAATAAACTCTATGGTCAAATTAGTCATTGATGTATCAAAATAAACATCACAGTTACCACCCAGTCTGAAAGAATAGAAACGCAAAGGAGGTGCCTATGCAGAGCAGAGTGCAAGGACTTTCATTGCAAGGCAGTGCAAGGCATTTCTTTAATGGTGCCTTGAGTTAGAAATAAAATAAGATGAGATCATTTTTCAAATATGCCTTGAGGGAGTCTTCTGGCCATTCTCCATAACTTTAAGATTTTATTCAGCTGTTTTGTTGTTAAATGGTTGCCACCTTTAGGCAATTTTGACAAGTAAAAAATAAAAAAAAATAAAATTGAATTTTCTAGGTTTCAAACTATCTTTCAGTGTCTTACAAAAATCAGTGTCTTTATTGTATACCTTAATTTAAGGAACATTTCTTGTAAAGAGGTTAAATTTTACCGTACAGAGAAATTTCTGCATAGCCCTTAAAAGTCTTTAAATTGGGAATTGGACATTAATGGAATCTAATAAGAATAATCAAAACAAAACAAAGAAGTATTTAACTCAACAAATATGGAGACTTACTTCCAGAGCCAAACAACATCATGGAGTTCCACAAGGTTTAATGCTTGGACCACTGCTATTTTTTTTTTTAATAATATGGCTTTCTTACTTATTACAGGGTTTATACAGAATACATGGGGAAAGGAGTCTGGCACATTCCACCTCTGCCTGTTTACACTGTGACAAAAACATGACTCCAGTCTTGACAGTTGAGAAATGAGGTCGGCTAATGGGCACACGTGAAAGAGCAGCCTGAGGTGCTGCTGAGCCCCAACCATCCCTTCAAAAAAAGTAAAGCAAGATGCTGTCCTGCAATCCAGGCAGTGGCAGAGTTGCCAAGTGTGAAAAAGATTGCTAAACCATGGCAAAAAATTAGAATTGAATGAGAACAGACACGTCAACTTAAGTTTACTTTAATATTAATCATAACAAATAACCAGTAAGTGAGTAATTTTTTAACTTTACCATGAATTAAAATGTTCGGTGTGAGGTAAATTTGTCCCACTTTGAAGCTGTTGCCACAGAGCAGTTATTGGCTATGGAATCATGGGGAGTATCATTAATTCTATAACATAATTTTAAATACATCTTTAGGTCAATATTTGTGAATGTGGTTAGTGGTCACATAAAGAGTAATGTGAATGTACAGCAAGTGTGAGTATGCAACATAAAACCCTAACATGATGGGAAAGACCTCAATGTGAAGTGATAAAGTCTTGTCTCACCCTGAAAGCTTTATATAAAGCAAAACCACCTGCTCCGTATTCACGACACCTTACTAAGATGCTCCTGTATCATAAATTATTCTATAGAGGTTCACTGATATGCGGATGACACTCTGTTTTACTCATCAAGATGGCTGCCAAAATAACATTTCTCTGAGCACCATCATAACAAGTCCGTGATTAAAATTCGTAAGATGTTCTCAAACTCCTACATCAAAGACATATTACAGGCAGACTTTTTCCATTGAGTAACATTGCCTAAGTCAGGTCCATCTGCCTTTAAAGATGCTGACCACATTGTTTGAAGTTGCCAGTTATAAAAAAGGGAACATAAAGACATAAATCAGAACAGTTATTTCACAGACATTCTTCTGCAGTTTAACAACTGCTTAGTTAAAAATAGAAGCACCTAGTTATTAATGACCAAGAAAGTGACTCAGTAATATCTTAGAAATAAAAACAATGATACAAGATGCAACATGGCACCATGTTTCACTCTTTTTAATCCACTTGGCTGTTTAAATGTGATGAAAAGCCACTCAAAGAAAAAGTGTTTGGTACAGCAATAAAATGATGACTGAAGTAACAGTCTGAGTCAATTAAACAGGGTTAAAAAGCTATTTTAAAGCAGTTACATAAATTGATTTGGATGTTTGAATGAACTTTGCTCCACTGGATCAAACGCAGACAACACAAGCAGCTACACAGAGTTACTAAGAGGAAGTCAGATTCACACACACGCATGCAGCAGGCACGCAGGCAGGCAGGCAGGCACGCACGCACGCACACATACCCAAGGCAGAGGAGATAAATGGTGAGCCTCCCACATCTCGGAGCACAAATCCTCCTCCACCTCTGGGATTATTGTCTTGAATGATATTTGATGAGAGCTGGACCTGCTGAAACAGAAATCCAAGCAGCAGCAGCATCAGGAGCCCCTGGCCTCACCTCTGCTCTGTGTGACACTTGTCATGTGTGATTTATGATGTAGTTATGAGAGAGCATAGTGGTCAGCTGGATAAAGGTTACAGCTCAAAATGAGATCACTGTGACTCCTATTGACATGGGAAGGCTTTGGATATTGCATCTGGTGACATCAGCTGAAAAGTGAATTGGAGTCTGAAAGGGATGTTTGTATTCTCAACTGGGTCAGATGTTCATTTAAAAGAATGTGTGATGCCACACACCAGATTTAGGTGTAGGAAAATATACCCACATTTCTGTTATTATTATACATAAAGAATGAAAAAGGAAAAAATTTCATTAATGCTACAAGTGGCCCCCACTTTTTTTACACACTTAAGTATGTGATGTATGTCTGGGTTTGACAAATGTCAGCATTTATAGTTAAGCCAAGATACAGAAACACATCTTTCTCAATGAAGCAGGCTATAGGGGCTAAATTTAAGAGAATTGTGCTGAGGTCTAATTGTACCATTTAGGCAGCACCCACCAACTATACTTGTATCAAATGTGTCTTTGCAGCTCCAGTGTACGCCGCTGTGTTCTTTTCTTGTTCTTGTGTTTTTGTTTGGTTTTCTGCACTCCTTCTCTGGTAACATTCACCAGACGGGAACTCTTAAACATAGGGCAGTATTCTGACTGACTTTTTCACCAGTTTTCACAGATCCAGGAAGTTTTTCTGAGATTTTGGTTGGTGTAGCAACTGCACTCTATGGAATTTACAGGAGGCAAAGTGCTCTCATTTCTACATTCACTGAATGTCTGCTCCCTGGCAAATAAGATGGAGGAACTGCTGCTTCTAACTCAGAAAAATAAAGACTTCGGTTGTTCAGCCAACCTGTGTTTGACTGCAACCTGGCTCGGTGAGCACATCCTGGACATGGTGAGTTTTGGTCAGATCAGAGCACGGTGCCCCCCCAGTGTTGTTCATGAGCCCAAACAAAGTTTGGGTTACAATATCGACAGTAGAAACCAACCAGAGAGTACGGAAAACACAAGCAATAAAATGAAGTATATACCGGAGACTCTGGCGGAATAACGGGTGCTTAAAAGGAGGTAGACCGGACAAGAGCTACAAAGCCGGGTCAACATAAAATGATAGGGGATGCTTCAGGACCCTACGGACCCTGTAACCTTTCTGCTGTACAGTGAAACCGCTTTAACAAAGTAAGCCAAGTGTCTGTAACAGAAGTGTTTCTTGTCAAACGGGACCTGCCACATGTTGTAGCGCTGCTACACTGTTTACTTCGGGTCCTGGACTTTGTCACTTTATCCTAGTTGAAGAAGTCCTGCAAACATTGTTTGGTAGTCTGTTGGCATCTACAGTAGCACCAATGATTTTTACTTTCACATTGACTGGGCCCCATTGGTAATCATCAGAAGTATTTATCTGCATTATATTTGAATATCTGAAACAATACGAGCGAGCAGGAGTGTCTGTTTGTGGGCGGGGCTTGCTGGAGCAGAGCAGGAGGGGAGAGGAGGAGCTGAGAGGAAAACTGGTTGGGAGGGGTAGTGTTTACATTCAAGATTTCTCCCGAAAACTGGCACTTTCTCAGATCCTGCCTACCCCTCTTTAAGTCCTGTAGTGCATGTCTTTACTTCACTGTGCAGAGTGTATATAATACGCTGTGGATCTTTAACTGTAAAAGAAGCTTATTGATAGTCTTCTGAATTTTTGTATTTTTATGATAATGAAAAAATAAGTCTTACATCAGAAAATAAACACCAGTGAAGGATGACGCACTTATTTGGAGTCAGTGTTAAATGTTACATGTTCATCTCTCGTGATATACATCAGTAAAAAAAGATAAGATGCTCATAAATGCTCTGCTCAGATTAAAATACTCAGAGATACTGGGCTGTGGTTCTTCTTTATGGACTCTTTCATGACACTCTGTCAGGCTCATCATCCCTTGAAGGCACGTCGACCAAGTAAGTGGAGGGTTTTATGCACTGACATTCGCTCTGGCACACTGGGTCACACAGCCACATAACATCAAATATCATGACTGTGAGTGATGGATTCCTTCCTCTGTGGAAACAGTGTCAGTGTGTATGTCCACTAAAGGAGTGAGTTTCAGTCACTGCTCAGAGGGAAACACACTGCAGATGTGGTGATGGTTTGATGGTAATGATGATTTTTTGGTGGGAACAGCATTGTCACTCTTTTTCTTTTAAGAAGGTCTTTTCAAAGCAGCAGATTTTAAAATCAATGTCACTGCAGGAAAACTGCAGCGAAACAGATATCTTCATCTTCTTTTCAGCTGACACTATTTTCTCCTCCTGCACTTGTGAGGTGGTATGCACAGTAAAAATGCAGGTAAAGATCAACCCTACCAAAGTGCTGCAGGATGACCAGAGGTGTGGCATCATTCATAGTGACAGTACAGATCCTGTTAGTGTGCACTCCTGCAGAGTCAGCAGTGCTACAACTCAGCACTGGTAACTCTGGGCGATAGGCTGCCAATAGGTGATTAATCTAGCCCTAATGAACATTATCAATAATTTAGAGGATCGCTGGGTAGTTTAGACAACATCGCACATGGCCCGTATGCAGATTGTACTCTAATTTTGTAACCTCTGTGGCTGTTGGTACTGCAGCTTGAGTAAAGCTTAAAAAACAGTCATTTAAATACAATACTTCAAGAATTTCATGACTTTATTTTCAAATCAGTCAAATATACTTACATCATGAAAATGAATAGCATAAACGATGCAGCATAATGTGTGGACTGTACTTTACTGTAGCCTGTATTGAACATGCTTTTGATGTTTCGGATTTATAGTTTGATTTGTCTTAGAGGTCCCTGAAGACAGAGTTTTCCTCTAAATGCATGGTTCAACAGCATAGAACACAAAGTCTCTGAGATCTTACCCATGGTTTTGAAACCTGTGGTCAGTAGTTGCCTTATCAGAAATACTTTCAAAAACTAACAAGAGGCAAAGTGATGTAGTTGAGGCAGACCTTGAGACTCTTTGCTATCAGCCTGCCTGTCAATGAAGTCAACTACGCCCCTAATATCTCCAAAACTACTGGACTCACTTCAACACAGTCAGTTTGTTTGCATACACAGTAGAGCTGTAGATACAGCACCTTTAGGCGATTTAACCTGACTACTGTCCTAGTTTCAGTTTACAAGCACCGTGAAAGAACCAAATCTTCAACAGAAGTTTTTGGCCTCCACTGTGGTAGGTGGTAGCGTGCCCCCTTTCAGCTCCTTACTGTTGGGTCATCTCCAAGTTAAACTATTATGTATCAAAGAAATCAACAGAACCCATTCACAAGAGGCTAAGGCATTGCACATCAGACAATGAAACACTATTACTTTTACAGCTCTGTATGTTTTGTAGGATAGTAAAGTTTCTTTCCTTTTACATCCTCTCTTTATCTTTGAGGTTTTGTTTAATACCCATCTTTGCATTTGTGCCATTTGACTTCCCGCTCAAAGCCCAGACTGCAAACACTGGAACATGTGGAGAATGTTCCATTCTTTCCCTCCGCTATTCGTCTGTTAAATTCTTAATGATTTTATTTCTTTTATCATGTACATTTTATTGGACGGTATTCTTGGTATTTTTAGTAATCTATGTATTAATCAATTTTTTATTGATCCTTGATTCCACTGCACTCCTCAGCATTTTGCTTTTATTCATTCTGTATATACTTTATGGATGTTCTGTGTACTTGTGTTTCAGTAGGGTGACTGTATGCAAGCTGCCCAAATCAATTGCCCCTGGTGGGATCAATAAAGTTGTCTAGGTCTAAGGCCCGAACTACACGTATATAGATATTTATTTATCAGGATATTTTTGTACTCCCCTCTAAATAAATGTATCTCTCCACACGTGTTAGTTCTTAAAAATATCTGCGTCCACACGTAGCCATCAAACTCAATCCTATCTGGTGCCGCTTAAAAAAAATTCAGTAACAAAGCTACCTGATTGGCGGATGAATCGTAACAGCGTGATGCATCATTAATTGTTTGCGGAAGCTACGCTAGTGCGTCGGGTCTATGTGACGGACCATGTGACCAATAAAAGTATTGGGCGTAGCAGACGCTTCTGTGAGCTGGCTGACTGGTGGATGTAATTGTATAAAACAAGGTTCACTTGCAAAGCTGAAATTAGCCCCAAAAGGTCAAAACAAACGTAAAGAATACCCTGTCTGTCCGCCATCGTTGTTGTTGTTGTTTTTCTTTTTAATTCGCATGCGCGAGCTGCGGTTTGACGTCATCGATCCGTAAAAGTCCAATCACACGAATCCGCTACGGATACGGTATACGGATATTTTTTTATTTCTCCACTTGTTTTGTCGGATTCAGATTTATCCGGTTTGAGTGCTCCAAACTCCTGTTTTGGTGTGGTAGGGAGGCCTAATCGGACATAAATATGTGCGGTTTGAAATATATCCGCATTCGTGTAGTTCGGGCCTTAGTCTAGATCTAAGAATGCTTAGGCCAGTGTATGTTAGTCCGGATTTGTGTGTTTGCATGGTTTTAATAGTCCAGCTTCAGTCCTACTGATGCAATAAAGGGATTTTTTTAATGTCATGTAAATGTACGGAGCATATATGGATAAAAAAATGAGCTTTTCAGACCAAAATGATTTTTGTTGTTTCAGACTTTGAAAATGTGACACTTTTGCTGCAAATAAGTTTTTTTGTTTATTTATTTATTTTTTGGACTGGATATGTATGTAATTTTAAATTTGGCCCACTGAACAACCTGTACTTGGCTGTGGCACGTCACTTTACAAACGCGTAGTTAGTCAAACCAAACAAAGAAGGACTGAGGTGACAACAGGAATGGACATGACTCAGGCGAGTGAGGTAAGCAAATCTTTGCTAGCGCCTTTGAACAGCAAGTTTATTTATTTAAAAAAATGCAGATGGGACAGTCAACCAGAGCACAGTGATTTCTAGCTTTTGTAAAAAAAAAATATATATATTTTTTTTTACCTAAGCAGCCTGACATATCATTTAAATGCTAAACACATCGGGACAAGTTCCACTGTTACCATTGTGAGTGCTACTGTGAGCTCATTTCGCAAACTGACGCTTACTGAACTTGGGAAACAAATGAGCAATGCCACAACAGGAAAAGTGTTAAATTCAATCGCAAAGTAGGTTGCTGGTGGTTGCAGGCCAACCGTGGAAGACAAGGGGCTAAATTTGGCGTTTCAGATAGCGTCGTCAGATGCAACTTTAAAGCTACCTTTGAGAACTACGGTGATGAAAAAAAAAACACCAGTTGTACGGTGATGAAAGGAATGCAAAAGAAGAACTATTGGCTGTATGGTTGGCAGGGGCCTATCATGTCACCTTCACGGGGGATCACTGGACATTGATGAGCAATCATAACACATAGGGAGTCACAGCACACCTAATCAATAGTGAGTGGAAACTTAAGTCTTTCGCATTAACCGGGAGCAAAATGGTGACCTGCCATTATACAGATGCATGTGTCGAGCAGTTCGATGCTGTGACAAAGGAATGGGAAATAGAAAACAAACTGACAACCATTGAAACTGATAGTGCAAGAAAACATGGTCACAGCAACACACCAGCTGCCTTTCGAGCACATACCGTGTCTGGAATGTGCTTGGCCTTTTTTTTCTTTTGAATTTCATTTATGAAACAAACTGAAAGTGTAATTTGATTTACCTGATTGAGCTTAGAATTTATTTTGGACTTTGGTTTTATTCAATCACCAGTAAAAATGTGGATTTCAAATCTTCTCTTCTTAGTGTATTCATTTGATTAGTTATGCACTACAATTTGCATTTTCCTAGAATTCAATTTCTTTATTTGGGGACCTTAGGCAGCTATGAGATGCGATTAATTAGATTAATTAATTACAAATCCTGTACTTAATTAAATATTTTTTATCATTGCCTGACAGCACTAATATTTTCCTTTATAATAAGATACTCACACTCATCATCATCAAATGCTTGTTTAGTTTTTTTTTTTAATTTCTCTTAAGTTTTCTGTATTTTCAAATCTTCATGAAACTTAAAAGAATATATTTACAGAGGAAAGATCTTCAGGTGATCCTGATGACGATAATGATGATGATGATAATAGTGTGAGTGTGTGTGTGTGTGTGTGTGTGTGGATGTTGGTACACATCAATGATATCAGTCATGAATCACGTCAGCTGCAGCGCCCTAATTTCTGCTGATCCTGTAATCTCTCAAACATCAGCCTGACTGTGGGAACATGAACTCAGTTTTCTGGCACAGAAACTGAATAAGGCATCATGGTCCCGAAAGGACCAAACAGGCTGGTTTAAAAAAAAAAGGAGAAAAACACACCATAATTTAAGCTTCTGCTGCCGCCGCTGCTGCTGCACTCAGTTGAGCTGGAATTAGACCAAGATCAGAGACAAAATAATTAATCAGACTGCACAGTATCTGGGTCGGACTACCTGCTCCCCCAGCCAAGAGAAAACTGAAAATCAAGATAAGCAGAATTTGGGAGGCATTTTATTTTGGCGAGCCAGACATCCAAACATGGCAGTAAATCATTAAAACCCCCTGTTCTCACAAAATCTCTGAGGCACAGTCTTGGCGTCAAATGCCTGCCTGATCATTCATTCCTGATGATTATTTGTATGCAGGCCTCTCATGTCAACACCAATGTCTCCATATGCTGATGACGTGGTGATGTTCTTGTTAGCCAAATTCAGTTGATTCTGTAGTTTCAGTGTTCTCTCCTTGCACACCTCATCATCCCCTCTACATCAGGAGACCCATATTTCACCACCAAGAGCTCTGTGATTGTTCCAGTACTTTTAGCACAGCCGGCAGTCTTTGATTTACATTTGAGAACCCTCCACGTTCACCTCCCCTCCTCTCCGCCCTTTTCTGCTTGTCTTGTATGTGGGAGCAGGACTCATAAAACACCAGAGAAGCTGTGCTCCGGCTGAGAGGTGTGGAAGGCCATAAAAGTCCGGGGCCAGCTGATGATAATGTGCTCAGCAACGCACCGGGCCCTATCAGGCTTGTTTTATGGCGTTTCATGAGTCGCACTCACACACATACTCACACAAACACACACACTTGTACAGTAAAGCTGTGTACATAAATGCTCACAGATGGTGCAGCATTCAGAGCTAAAAAACATACCATGTGTGCATATTGTAAGAGTCAGAATGTAAATGATGCACAATGGTGCAAAACAGAAATGAGTGCACACATTCACACTTCTGCTGCAGGAAATGAGCAATGTATTCACTTCAGTTAAAGAATATAAACAATTTGATGTCTATCTGTTCATATATATCCAGAAGATATTCTTTAACAAGGAGCATAATTGATTGAAAGAAGATACCTATTTAATTAAAGGTAGGGTAGGCAGGATCTGACGAAGTGCCAGTTTTTGGAAGGAATCTTGAATGTAAACACTACCCCTCCCAACCAGTTTTCCCCTCAGCTCATCCTCTCCCACAAACAGACACTTGTGCTTGCTTGTGTTGTTTCAATTAAATTTAGATATAATTCAGATAAATACTTTAGATAATTACAAATGGGGCCCAGTCAACGTGAAAGTAAAAAGCATTAGTGCTACTGAAGATGCCAACAGAGTACCAGCAAACACAATGTTTGCAGGACTTCTACAACTAGGATAAAGTGACAAAGTCCAGGACCCAAGAAAAGATACAGGGTCTGTAAGATCCCGAAGTGTTCCCTATCGTTTATGCTGATGTTGACCCAGCTTCTTAGCTCTTGCCTGTCCATTTTAAGCGCCCGTTATTCCGCCAGAGCTCCGGTATTTACTTAGTTTTCTTGCTTGTGTTGACAGTCGTGGCCCAGGGAGGATTCAGACAATATTCTGTACTTTCTGGTTGGTTTATACTGTCCGATATTGTAACACGCTAACGTTGTTTGGGCTCTTGAACGTTATTTCAGGATGTGGAGCGTGCCTCAGAACACAGGGGAGTAGCGTCCGCCTCACAACCAATCAGCACTAAGGAGCAGCGTCCGCCTCACAACCAATCAGGTTGCGGGAGGCGGAGAATGGCTTTGTTTACAGTCAAAAAGAGCGGGCCGCTCAAAAAATGTAAAATGGTGACTCCACAGACATAACAAAATACAGCAATATCATTAAATTCCCAAATGCCATCAATGACTAACAGCTATTGACTAATATTAAACTTTTTTTGTATATACACCACTAAAAAAGTTGCTTTTTTAACAGATTCCTGCTTACCCCACCTCTTAATTAATACTTAAGCGATACCAGCTAAGATGACATGCTCCTCTGCTAGATATCAACACAGGATTTATCTGCCTAAAGCTCCAGATAAACGATTTTAAGTCAACAATCGACTTGACGTGATGTGACCTTACTTAGTCTCAAACAGTCCAAAATTTGATAACAAAAATCAAAGTACATTGTGAAAAGTCCAAGTGCTGTTATATCTAGTGATTTTCAGATTAAAAAAAGCTTTAAATTTCTGACAGTGTAGTAATAAAAAATTAGGATATATTATATAGAATATTATTTCCACTTCCATTCCCCCCCCCCCCCCAATCTTTTGGTTTTCACTTCACATGCTATTGGGGGCAGGCCATTATGCTTTGCTGGAAGCTCAGATGAACCAGTAAGGAGAGTCTATCATTCTTTCATCAGAATTTTAGTAAATCACATTGACTATAATCTCACGTTTGTCTAAGGTTTGAACAATTTACATCTATTTTCTAGGATTATGACAAAATGAAGCATAGCTGTAGTTCAGGCAGGTCACGGAGTCAAGCTAAAGGCTACATTCAGTTGATCTTAAGCAGGCTCTTCACATCCCATTGGCTAATGTCAAATTGCGCCTCCTGCCTACTGAAACAACTCTGCAAGGCTGCATCTGCTCTGCACGCTCCTACTCATTAGAATACTCAGATCTGCGTTATTGCTTTTCCTACCTTGCTCTTCATCATGTCAATCCCTGCCCACGATGAGGATCTATGGCAGATTGACTGCTTTTCTGAAACGCAACATCAGCAATGTGAAGTTGAGGAAGCCAGTCCTGCAATGTCAGCTGTGTTCCCTTCCGCACAAGCTCTCCTCTGGCAAGTAAAACTTCTATTTCTCCCAGCTTCAATGAACGGCCAGAGTCCAGGCTCCTGGAAGTCGTTTAAAAATAACATCACAGCTCCAGATGGTGCCTCACATCAAGAGTTTTTCACCTTGTTTGTGGAAAATATCCACATAGAGCATCCACTGGCAGTTCTCTCTTCCTCCTCTGTCTCTAAAAAAGCGACCACGAAAAGAAACACTGCTCCCGCAGCGTCACGGCAGCCACGTCACCTTCGCTGCCCGCAGAGCACAAGGCCCAATCCCAGCCACCAGAACCGCAGACTTGGACGACAATCCCATCCTGAACGCACTGTCCAGCATCCAGCCATCGCTCACCCACATGTCTTCATGGATCGAAGCCTCAGAATCTGGTTAATCACGTGCTAAGCTGTCTTCCCTCATCCCAGCTGTCACCTGCATTCACTGCGCTGAACGATGACGTCACTCCAGCGACAACCGACGACAGTGTCACCGTCCCATGAAGGACCCTGGGAAGTGCAGTCCCTGTCTCCACCAGCGTCCCATTCTTCCTTCCAGCAGCTGCAATTACAGCTAATCTGCGGAAAAATCTTGCTGTGCTCTGACTACAACGATAGACGCATTGTGGATTGTGGAGACGTGTCTGATGCTTAAATATTGTGATGCCCGGCTGTTTAAATCTCTGACCTTAGCTGAATTCATGTAGCTTTCAACGTATTTGGAGATGTCACATGTGAAGTGTTTTCAGCACGCAGAAATGAACTGGACACATCTCGCCATCATTTCTGATTGAGCCATGACTTATGGAGAATAGCTGCTATGTCCATTCAAATATTCAGCCAAAGACTTGATTAGTCTGTAGTTGACCTGGCTCTAATCAGTAGACATTTCACTGGGCATCAAGCTTTTTCCTGCTCAATCTGCGGGTCTTTGTCTTACACCCAGAGGTGAAAGTAAGCCCGTAAGCTGGTATGCAGCGGTACGCAGCAGTACGCTGTTCCGGGAAGTCATAATCAGCAGTTTACAGCTGGTACGCAGCAAACCTTCACCCCGTAGTGTATGTAGGCTACATTTGCTTAGTGTGTTGCCACACGTCAGTCTGCGCTCTGCACTGCAACCATAGAAATCCAATAGGACCAGGCTGCTTGAGAGTGAGTCGTATTTGCTTCCGCATACAAACTCAAGAAATGGAAGCTCCAGGCGCACTTTTGATTGGATGCTGGTTGCCTAGGTGCTGGGGCCCGCCTCCCGCCTTTTGCAGAAGAAGTGAACTTTAAAGAGCTGTTTCAATCTTAAATGCAGAAATAAGACAAAATGATAAATAAATAAACAGATCAATAGATTTATGTTCAAGAGAGAGATGCAGCAGATGATGAGACAGTGGCATCAGAGTCAGCACCTCGCTAAACGTGGGTATGCTCCTCTTGTTCAAAGTCTACGGGTACAGTACATGCAAGAGCCTTAACCTATATCATCCCCTGCTCACACCTCCAATCTGTGCCCTAAAACTGTGGCTACAGGCCAACCACCAAGCTTCTTCTAAGCCTACAACTCGGCAAGGCCAAGTTACTGCAGGGACGGGTATCTAAAAATCAGCACACCCAAGATGCACCTGCCTTGTAAAAAAGGAGAATAAAGCTGTCTATTCTGTCAAATGGCCCTGAGCTGGGGGAGGCACTGGCAAAGCATCCCAACCGCTGTTTGTGAATTATTTGATAACAGGACTGGTTCAGGGGTTCCTAGCAGGTTTGGTCTGTCTGCCAAAAGTGTTGTTTGTGTGTAAAAAATAAATTTACAATCCGCAATGAAAGATCCTGAAATAGTTGATGGAGAGGAAGTGAAGACAGGATTCATGATTGGCTGCTATGCTAAGTCACCCTTTCAATTTCCAGCTTTAATCCTTTAGGCATAGCTACGCATAAATACTCAAGGAAAAGCATCTAAGTAGAGAAGTAACGGGACATGCTCGAGAGGCAGTACTTCTACTGGAAAGAGAACTTCTCTCTTTGCTTGGGTATATTAATTTGCCATGCGCATCATGCCTCAAGGGCGGTCCTTTATATCCAGACTTCTCAACCTTGCCAAATCAGTTGAGAATCTCCATGATAAGGTAAGCTTAGATGAAGGTTGCAGATCCAAGCTGCGGTTTGGTCACTTTTGTGAAAAAAATGGAAAGGTATCTCATTCTTTTATAGTGACTATCAGGAATTTTCTCCTGCGATTTAAGCTATTTACAGTCACAGCCCCATCTGTTGGTTTAGGGAGGTTTTAATAATCAATGGTTGCTGATATTTGGCCAAATGAACTGTCTTCTCTGCCAAAAAAGGTGTCTTCAACTGCTCTCCTCCTGTCTCCAGTTGTCATATCTTGCCTTCTATGGGGTAAACATTGGTCCAGGAAACAGATTTTTCTTTTTGTGACAATGAGGCAGCTGTTAATATCATTACCAAGGGCACTCTTCAGTTCCATTTATTAATAGGCTTATGAGGCGCCTTACCAGGTCCTTACCTTTCTTGGGTAATTTTCATTATTTGAGCAGTCCATATTCCAGGCTAGGATAACCAAATTACCGATTCCTGTCCCAAATCGTACTTCAAAAACTCAGCCAGCTGTGCCCGGAGGCAGCGCCATCCAGCCTGACCTGTCCTCATTCATTTAGACTGTGTAAGTCTGAGTGCAGTCCTGCAAACTTATGTGCTCTCTGTGGCCTGCTATACGAGAGCTGGTTAAGCAAAATCAGCATTTAAGTTAATATGATTCTGCATGGTCTCACTTTAGCTCTTTTGTACCACCTTCTCTGAAGCGCCAATGCTGTAAATATATCCATTGGATGTGCATTAATAGTCCACTGTTTCGAATCTCGCAAAAAAATTACAGGCCTTGCAGCAGATATTCAGCTCCATCTGTGCTGTCTGAACCATCCACCACCAGCCTGCATGAAAAACCATCTATTCATTTCTATTTATTTCTCGAACTAACGCTGACTTTGTCCTTTGTCCTCCATGTCCCGCTGCCTGAGAGGCCAGCCACTGGCCAGCTAGCAAGAGCCTCTCTTTGCCACCAAATAAGGGAAACCTATATCCAGATCATGGTTTCTGCTCACCTCTGCCTGCTCTGCTCACCTCTGCCAATCCTACTGGCTCCCACCCCAGCACGACTCTTCACATAGATGCAGCTGCAACGGCATCCTCCATTGTCCCCAGCTCAAGGCTATGGGTCAATGGTCCTCATCAGCCTATGAATGATACCTCAGGCCTGGGGCTCAAGAAATTATGCTCAACTAACTATGTGTACTTTGAAAAATGCTGCTGCGCCATAATACTTCACTAGCTTTGGAGGTGGGTATGTTGCTTCATAGTTTCTACCTGCTGGCTGCTGCCTCCCATATAGGTGCTTTCATGTAGCTCATAAAAGCTGGGAAGGGTTGCCTGGTATAGTTGTTCTGGGGGGCTTTTGGTTTTTTTATGTTAATCGTATTTATTTGCTGCTGCCTTGGCTTTTCATGTATGCACATGAAAGGGAGGGGAGGAGCTCTCCCCTCTTATAGCTGTGGCATTTTATGGTTGTTTTGGGGGATTTTCATTTATTTATCCTAATCGTATTTATTTGCTGCTGCCTTAGCTTTTCATGTATGCACATTAAAGGGAGAAGGACCTCTCCCCTCTTATAGCCATGGCATTGTATGGTGGTGCAAGCGGAACCCTCAGAACGGAGCCATACCGCCAATGTAAAAATGTTTGCTTGTAATAAATAATTAATTTTGACTAAAGCGATCTTGACTGAAATGAAGCATAGCGGTAGTTCAGGCAGGTCATCTTTAGCCAGCCCTCAGTCAGCTGACAGCTCAGGTGATCGCCCTCTTCACATCCTATTGGCTAATGTCAAAATGGCACCCTATTCAAACTGCTTCTCCTGCCTACTCTGGCTGCTGCAACCACTCTGCAACCCACCTCCACCCTAGCCTGGCCTGCAAAGTCGGCAGAATCGTTTATATCCTGAGTATATAAACGATTTCTGCCGACTTTGCAGAGTCAACTGCAGAATTAACGGCGTTCTGAATGAATGGGGCTTTGACAAGTCCCGCAGCATGTGTTAGACGTCACCACTACACATAGACCAATCAGGGGCTGCCTTTCCCTGTTGTCCGGGTAACAGTGGAAACACGGTCTCTGATTGGCCCGGTTATTTTCTGATCGGGAATACACGCTCTCTATGGGCCGAAGTCCAGACTGTTGTGGGAAGGAACATCAAGTGATTCACACAACAGGATGGCCCGGCCAGGCTACCTCCACCCCAGCTCCTCCTGTTTATGTTGTGTCTGATCTTACCAGTGTCATATGTATTGTCACTGATGCTTGCTCTGCTCCGTGCGGGTTTTTTTATTTATTTATCTTAATCGTATTTATTTGCTCCTGCTTTCTCTGCCTGGCTCTTTATGTATGCACATGAAAGGGAGGGGAGGAGCTCTCCCCTCTTACAGCCATTCCGTGCAAGCACATGGAAGGGCAGGGAACCCTCAGAACAGAGCCATACCGCCAATGTAAAAATGTTTGCTTGTAATAAATAATTAACTTTGACTAAAGTGATCCTGACTGAAACACATTTACCTCATAATTTGAAAGTTTTCACATCTTTATAATGTTTTTACATCTTGTATGGACACTGAACTTTGCATCTTTTGGTGTAAATGTGGAAAAGCATATCCCCCCATCAAAATGTTATGAGAATCACACAGAAACTTTTTATGTTGAGAAGTCAGAATGTGAGGAAATGAAAAATAACTATACTTCTTTGAGGTCTGTTTAAACATGGGAACCTGCACACACTAAATGCCAGGGAATTCCTATCACATTTCACAGGTTGAAAAAAGCCTGTTTTTACAGCAGGAATAGAGATACTTGCAGCCTTATCTGTACCTTAACACACCTCATATTTTTATTACCAAAATGCAAGAGATACAGTTTGCTAAAACCTACGCTGATTCTCCTGACCCTAGGAGCAACGAATAACTGCATAACATTAAGGGTGTGGCTGATAAATGTTATAGTGGTTTGCAGGAGGCCCAATGCTCACTCACCTATTGCGTTCTGCCAGTTTTGACTGACTAGATTCAGACTGATTGAAAGTGTGGTTAGGTCTTCTTTTCCAACATGGTGACTTCTAACTTTGGACACAGCAACACCTCTGGTGCAGGTCTACACATTAAAGGATGGATATATCACATTTGTTTGTGCTTTCATTTATGAAGAAAATGACCAGCAGCATTGATTCTCTTCTCTTTACACACTCATGTCAATGTTATTTTAGAACAAGAGCCATCCTTGGTAATAAAATATGAAGATCTCATGGTGTTTTATCTCATTAACATGGCCAACACATCGCCTCTTACAGTTAAAATTACTGATTGCATCAGAATTTATTGAATGCTCTTCCTCCTGGATGTGAG